GTCTGATAATTTTGTGCAGAGTTATGGTCTTTGGACATAGAAAATTCACTTTAATAATCAGTTTTCAACAGTTTTTCCGTCATGCTTGAAGATTTTGACTTGATATTTTTATGTAGTTTACACCATGACAAGTTATAGATCAAGTTAGAATTTCATTCCATTACAATGAATTTGTAACCGGTAGGGGACTGTGTATTGCCATGCAATACTCACAGAATGCTTGTTTTTTGATGAAGTGAACTCCTTTAAAAACTAAGCTTTAATATATTGTCTATTAATAAACATATATTTAGATTTCTGATTTCGGGCCCAGTTTTCAAGTTGGTCCAAATGGGGGTTCAAAATTAAACTGTGTTTGATTTCAACATAAATTGAATATATATAGGGTTCATTGAAATGCTTTATCTTAACCTGTATTTCTTTTCATTATTAATAAGTTAATACCAAATTGAGGTCTAAAGGGTCCTAAATTAAACTTTTGTTTAATTTTATCAAAAATTGAATTCTTTGGTTCTTTGATATGCTGATTCTAACAATGGTTGTTGTTATTATATTATTGATTATAATTTGAAAAATTGAATCCTATCTTATTTTAGAGAACTATTTATCCAGTTTGAGTTATTTCCATTTGCATAGAAAATATTATGGATAAAATTAACCTGTGTTTCATTCCAACATAGATTAAATATATATAGGGTTCTTTCAAATGCTGAATCTAAACCTGTATTTAAATATTAGATTTTTGGGTCCAGTTTTCAAGTTGGTCCAAATCAGGGTCCAAAATTAAACTTTTTTGATTTAACAAAAATTGAATATATGGGGTTCTTTGAAATGCTGAATGTCCAATTTCAAATATTTCAGTTCTTTGACCACATTCATTTTGTGTCGCAAACCTATGCTGTGTCAGATATTCAACCACAATCCAAATTCAGAGCTGTTTTAAGCTTAAATGTAGTGTCCGTACTTGCTCAACTGTTCAAGGTTCGACCTCTGCAGGAAAATCCGGTTTGCTGTCACTCTGACAGCCTCTTGTTATTTGATTGTGTATGTCTCCCAACAGGGACTAATTAATGGGACTTGCATAATGACTCTATTGATCAATGTTCCTGTCCTTATACTTTGCTTATGGTTTGTATATATGCTACAGGATAGAGAAAATGTTTTTGAATTAAAAAATTAAGAATAGAAAAAAATGGGCAATGAAATGAAGAAAAGAGAATAATTGGTGTTTATATAAACAGAATAGAGAAAACTTGTATAAAAAATTAAGTATACAGAAATTGATGATCCAAGTCCCCTACCCATCCTGCTACCGAGACCCTCTTATCTTTGCCCATAACTAGAAAGACCTTCTAAACCTTAAGTCCTAAAGTCAGAAGTATGTAGACAGATCTTGAGAAGGTATCTCAATACTAGGAAAAAATAAAATTGAATTTTCTTTCTTTATAAGGGTGTGCTCCTACTTCATTGGCGGCCAGTTTTGTTATTTTCGTATCAAAGGTGAGTGCTGCAGGCAAAGACAAAATTACGCCTGAATCTACCATTTTTTACTGAATACAAGTAAAACAATGTTTTTTAATAAGTTTATTATGGTTTTCTATCTGTCAAGTCGTCGACTGTCATCAAATGGTCATTTTCATCTAAATTGATTAAAATTAACTTTTATTGTGATATGTCAAATTGAACACTTTTGAGTGAAATTGACACTATCAGGAATGTTACATCTATACTACTAAAGGAAGAGACCGATTTCATTGAGCCGCAACTCCTCTGAAACCATACAAAGTCTGTATACTTGTGATATGACGTTTAAATGAAGTGTTTTGTACTTCCTAAATTTGTCTTTGAAACAATTTTTTTTTCCACATAAAACGTCAATTTTTGAGAAAAATATACAATTTCGGAGACCGTTATCGATCCGTGTCTCATAAGTTTTAGCGCATGCTCAGGCGACGTACTGCCCGCATGATTTAAAAACTTTGTTTCAACACTTGGCCAATTTTACCGTGATTTCTCGGGCATCTGAATGTTCAGTATATTCCTTGTTAATTAGAACACTGTGGTGCTCTAGCTGTGCTCATTTTGACATGGTAGGCCCTACATTTAACTTAGAAAGAAAAGAAATCATTAATCCAGATAAAAATATGTGTGTTAATGGTAAAATTAGGTTGGTAAATATGTTTTTTATTACCAGAAAATGAGGAAATCTGCTATTTTATCTGGATTTACTATTAAATTTGTCAATTAAAACTTTTGATAATTAATAAAAACTTTTGATAATTCATAAAAAAGATAACAGAAATTGCCTAAAATACTGGACATTAGTAGTACAACAGACCAAATCAACCATCAACAACTCATTAAAAAAACAAAGGAAAGCAACAATGAATTCAGTTTGTAGTTTGAGGCATACAAAAATGTGGTTTAATGGTAGAGAAACCCTATAAGACGCAAGTAATTATATGACTGCAAAAAATTTTTGCAGTCCTATATTGTTATGACGTTGGCGTTGTTGTCGTCCGAAGACACATTGGTTTTCACACAATATCTTTAGTTTAAATGAATGGATCTCTATGAAATTTTACCATAAGGTTCAATATTACAAATGGAAGGTTGGGATTGATTTTGGGGGTTATGGTACCAACAGTTAAGGAATTAGGGGCCAAAAATAAGCATTTTTATACGCCCGTTTACGGGACGTATTATGGTATACCTCTGTCCGTCCGTCCATCTGTCCGTCCGTCGTCAACATGTCGGACATTAATTCATAAACGCTTTAACCAATTTGCATAAAACTTTGGTGAATTGTTTATATCTATTGACGTGAGCTCCCTTTCGTTTTTTATAAATTTTGAATTTTACGTTTCTGAGTTATGGGGTTTTATTCATTAAAAAATGGGGGATTTTCCAGTTTTCGGACAATAACTCAAGAATGCTTTCACCAACTTGCAAGAAATTGTGGTGAATTGTTTATATCTATTGACATGAGCTCCCTTTTGATTTTTATAAATTTTAGATTTTACGTTTCCGAGTTACAGGGTTTTATTCATAAAAAAGGGGGATTTTCCAGTTTTCTGACCAAAAACTCAAAAATTCTTTCAGCAGTTCTTATGAAACTATGGTGAATTGTTTATATCTATTTAAGTAAGCTCCCTTTAGAATTTTATAAATTTTACATTTTACATTTCTGAGTTATGGGGTTTTATTCATTAAAAAAGGGGGGATTTTCCAGTTTTCGGACAATAACTCAAAAATGCTGTCAGCAATTCTCATGAAACTTTGGTGAATTGTTTATATCTATTGATGTAAGCTCCCTTTTTTTTTTCATAAATTTCTAATATGACATTGAGAAATAATTGAACTTTATTTGTTTATAGTCTGACAACAGATTTACTAAGTATTGCGCAACAGCACAGTGTATTGCACAACAGCAAGAAATCTTTAATTGAATATAAATTCAATTCATATAAACAATTTCAAGTTCTTTGACTACATTTATTCAGAAACCTGTAATATGTCAAATATTTAATTACAATCCAAATTCAGACCTGTATCAAGCTTGAATATTGTGTCCATTTTTGCCCCAACTGTTCAGGGTTGGACCTCTGCGGGCGTATCCAGCTGCGCTCAGCGAAGCAGTTTATTCTAGTTTCCAGACAATAACTTGTGGAACGGTGAATGGATCTCTCTGAAATTATACCACAAGTTTCCAGACCACAAAGGGATGGTTAGGATTTGCTTTGGGGGGTTATGGCTCAAACCGTTAAGGAATTAGGGGCAAAAAAGGGGGAAAAACAAGGGTGTCCTGGTTAATGGACAAATACTCTAGTACAAAACATAATTTAAAGCAGTGTAAGGGAGGTAATTCAAATACATCATTTGAATTACCTCCCTTACACTGCTTTTAAATTATGTATAAAGTAATGGTTAATGAACAACTAAGACAATTTGAAAGCAGTGTAAGGGAGGTACATTTAATCCAAATACAATGTTTTGATTACCTCCCTTACACTGCTTTTAAATTACGTTTAAAGAAATGCATATTTATAAAGGAAGACCAGTAAAAATATCTGCTAATTTTGCATTTTTTTTTTTTACAAAAAAATCCATATGAAAGATTTGAAACCATATTTTAAATTCTATTATAAAATAGATTAAGTTAACACTATGGTAAATTTAAATGGGTAATTATGGTTGCAAACTCCATTGGAAATTTGAATTGAGATTATGAACATATCTTGAGGGAAAGAATTTTTGGGGGAAAAAAGGGGGGGGGTAAAAAGAAATTGTGGGGGTCAATTTTTTCTCATTTCAGATTTCAGCTATACTTCAAATATTATTTTTTTGCAACAGCATAGTGTATTGCATAAAAGGGGGAAAACAGGGGGGGTCAATTATTTATTTTTTTTGTGGGGGGGGGGGGGGGTTAATACGCAACAGCATAGTGTATTGCACAAAAGGAAAAAAAAAGGGGGGGTAAATTTTTTATTTTTTTTGTGGGGGAGGGGGGGGGGGGGGGGTCAATTCGCAACAGCAAAGTGAATTGCACAAAAGCAAAAAATTGAATATAAATTCAAATCATATAACCAGTTCTAAGTTGTTTGACTACAGTTATTCTGTGTCAGAAACCTTTTATGTGTCAAATATTTAATTTCAATCCAAATTGAGACCTGTATCAAGCGCAAATATTGCGTCCAATTTTTGCCCCAACTGTTCAGGGTTGGACCTCTGCGGTCGTATCCAGCTGCGCTTGGCGAAGCAATTTTTTTTTTTTTTGGCCTAATATAATTTTTTTGATTTTTTTGTTTTACATGTTTTACATGGAAATACTATGTTAACAATATCTAGTACTTCCATGATACATGCATGTGAAAACTGACAGTTTTCTCCCAAAATTAAGAAAACTACTCGACAGGAAAAAGTGTTTATAAAAATATAAATGAAAGAGTTCACAATGGTTAAAAGTAAAAATGTAAGAAAATTAAAAATCTTTATCTTACCATCTTCTAATGTTAATGTCTTCTGCCATACTTAAGCACACCTTATAATGAGGGTTGAACATAAATTTAGGAGCATGTATCTCTTCTGCCATTTTAAAGGTAAATTCATAATTGTTCGAATTTATTTTATAATGGTCTTAACCCAAGGGGCTTTTATAGGTTTATTTTAATCATTAACCTTAATACAGATCTGAACTACTAAATAGTGTAGTTCTTATTTATTTAAAAATGTAAGGATTTGGATTTAATTATAATGGTTTTTATAAGACCCTTTGGCAATATATTTTTAAAAGAGGAATTATCCAAATAATGTTAAATATCTTTGTAGACCTGTTGATAAATTTATGCAATCTACTGATCCCAAGTCTTATTTGAAAGTATTTATGGACCGAGGGTCTATATTGTTACAACACAGGATTAGAAGAGTTTCCAGTCTGAACAAAGATATCAAAGTTAAATTCATCTGTATTGGGTTTAGATATGAACTCATGTAATTGTTCTTCAAAGAAATTTTAAGCATAAGTATGAAATGTCCTTGTCATGGGAGACATGTCCAACTGCTTTTAAGAAATCCAAAGGACTTTGGGGTTATATTACACAATTTCAGATCTTTTCTGGCAAATAAACAGGTTGATTTAGATCCTAGTGAATATGATTTTAGTTCAAAAAGATTTTGATTTGAAATTATTAAAATGCAAGTTTGATTAAACAAGTAGGTCTATATGTCATAATGTGTATGTGTGTAAATAAGTTCCAGTGTTTCATGATCAGATCTACAAAAAATGTATTATACAAATGTGCTCTTGTTGAAAGCTGGCACTAATACCTAAGTAGGCATTAGTCTCAGTCAGTTGAAAGAGATTATACATATATTTTATTTAAATATAATGAAGGCTAGAAACTTATTTGTCAATGAAAATGTCAAGGCGGGAAATTAAAAACTTACTTTTCCATTTGATAGTTCAGCTATATACTAAAAACACCTTCAACATGTACATTGTGTAGTACATGTATATAACCTTTAAGGGACAACAATGCTAGTGTTAGATTTAAATGTTAATAATTGGGCATTATACTTTATCATGATCAGTTTGTTTTATTCAAGTAAACATTTCTGAAAATTAGGCTGGAACCTCTTCCCTTTTCATGTGAAACCCCTCTTTTCATGTTTGTATATATGTGCCTGCACAGACCATCTTCTTGTAAAATTTAAACAAATTAATTGATATATTATTACCAGAATTGTTTGTGTAGTGACCTCACTAACCAGTAATTTTTTGTAGTGAAGATAATATATGTAACAGAAGTTTTACAAAACAAGGAAAAATCATTGAATTTATTCATAACTTATATTGGAATATATATATATATCATTGTATATTTGGACGAATACATTTTTTATGATGAAGACCCTCATTGAAGTATCTCCTGATTTAGATAAAATCAGTATTATATTGCTGTAATGTCCCACAAGTAAATAAAGATATGTTTACTTAGTAAACTACAGGTTTAGATATGTCAAGTTTCCCAAATTTTAAGGAAAATCCCTTGTACTCTACACCTAGTATGTATTTGTTTACACACTGAATTCTATGCCAGTGTAGATCCAACGATATATTTGACTTCTGAAGAAGTAATTAATACCGCATTCTTGACACTGCATATTTTTAATTCATTATGCATATATGTTTAAATGATATTGTATTTCAACAATTATACTTCAAAGGTAAAATAATTTGATTGAAGAAGAAAAAAAAAACAAGTGGTATTGGATATATTGTTTTGAATACTGACAAACATATGGTTCACCGATAAATACATGTAAAAAATGTTGTAACCAGATGTGATACATGATATTTATTGTGACTATCCTGACACGGGTTTGAGTAATTAAACTACATGAAAAAATTCCTGTGATGATGAATAGTGGACTTATTCATGGTTGAACACTATTTTATTTCAATTCCACTAATAGTGTAATAGATAACGTATTTCATGGTTGGTGACTTCAACCATAACATTGTGGATCATACTACTTTGTAAAAGCCCATTTACTAGAGGATTATTTTCCGTGCTACCTTTAAAAACAGAAGTAGAATCTAAGCAGCCTATCTGTGCTGGTGATATTTGTGTATACACATACATGTATATTTGGATATTTTTCATTGACATTTAACCTGAAGCTAAAAAATTGATTTGTAATTCAGTGATACTACAATGTATTTATAAAAGATTTTTGCAATAAACTGAAAAACTTTGGATGTAACAAATCTTTTAAAATTGATTTTTTGGTAGAATCTTTATCGTGCCTGGTTGGGTCTACCTGTGTTTAAGATTCATCTGGACCACTTGATACATTTCATGATATTTAGATTTTAGAGTTTTACTTATTGCCAGTACACATGTTAATTCATTTAACAGGCATGACAGGCGTGTGTTCCACAGTAACGATAAAGTAAAATAGAGTTTTGCATTAAGTGTTGTATTTCATTTCATAAGGATACATTTATACATCTGTGTCACTGTGTTTGGGTTTTATTGTGAATTTAGTATTGACAAAATCACTCTTAGGAATCAAGAATGGCATCACTTGCAGCACACAGGGAAAGGCTGCGTCTGCAATCCTTAAATGATAACACAGAAAGTGACCTATTTCAGCGTCGTAGGCTACATAATGAGGAACATCTTAATCCCGAGGGTTTGAACAGGTAAATCAGCGGTTGGAATTTATTAGAATGTCTAGATAAAATTTGTAACTTGACACTTTTCTAAAAAAGTAGACACTGATGATAAATTTAAAAAAAAATACACTTATAAACTGTGTTATTGCACAAAATGAATAGATTTACCACTAAATTTACATTTATTTCCTGGAAAAAAGGTGTCATTTTAGGTTGAACTTGCTTACAGTAGATAGACCAAGCAATTTCCTTGATAGGAACTCCTTTCCTGTCTAAATTCAGGAACTTTTACTATTTGAATTTTCATGTAAAAAATCATATACTGGAAAGAAAAGTTAACATGCACAACTCTTTGCAAAGGTAAAAATATAGTATTTTGCAGTTTTTTTCAACATTGATATGCTTCATTGCCTTATGATTTAAGCTTATACTAAAATTTTGTACCTTATTCTTCTGAGAAGATTTTTATCTATTTTTTTTTGCGTGCTACCCAACTGTGTTTACACTGGTTAAATTCGGAAGTTCAGTCTGTGAGATGAAACATTGGGATCATGTTTGGGAACCAGTAGGTGAACAAATCATAAAATATTTTGAATATATTGTACCTGTCCAAAACAGAGTGAGTGGTTTGTGAACCCAACTACATGTATATTACAAAGTGCAACCTTAGTACATTTGTACCTGACAATGACTAGCTGTTTAATTGTTGTTGTTGAAGTTATATATAAACTTTCTTTGGAGTAGGACATTATAACTTAACAAAATTACATCCTAGATAGTAAATGTACAAAGATGTGAAAAGTTCAATTTTGATTTTCTAATGTTAAAGCTAGAATCATCATTGTTTATAGGGCTATACTAGTTTTTGCTTTGCTGTCAATGAGTTGGTTTAGGAGCATCTGTTGATAGTTTTAACCTTTTGTTCATTTTGTCAGGTTAACCATACATGTAATTATTTATATAGAAAATCTTGAAAATGTAAATGGTTCCAGTGTTTTCCCTATGGATAGGAGATTGACTAAAAAAATTTGGCTTCTATATATAGTATACCATTTTTTTGTAGATAATTTCAAAGTTTAAAGGATAGGGTTTTATCTAATGCACTGAGGTCCCACTATGCATACATCCATTAGGGAAAACACTTGGTTTTGTATGTCAAGCAAAAAAATGAATATTTTCATTCTCTCCAATGAGTTTGTGTACAGTCCTTTCTGAGACCAAAGATGCAAAATAAGGGGACAAAATTTTGAAAGTCAAAACCAAAATCAATGGAAACATGCTCTCATGACAGGGGTAGAAATCCATATATATATATACATGACATAATAACATTGAAATACCTTCATCCAGTAATGAATTTCATTGTTCTTCATATATAAAGCACATGTGGTAGTTGAGTAGTTGGTGATGACTGAACGCAAACATTATTATTTTTGCTGATAGAGTTTTACTGCCTTAATATTGTACTATATCTATTTAAGAGAAGTAAGCCTAGGATGTTGTTAAGAAGGAAATGGAAGATTTAGTTATTAAATAAAAAACTGAGTAGGCATATTGAAACAGGTGAAGTTGAATGTATATTTAGTTTTAAAAGTTTTTTGGATTCAAAATGACAACCAGATCAAAAACAAAACCCAGGGTTCAGCTAATGAAGGCGTAAGTGATGCTCTCTTTTATTAAGTTACATTCAACCATAAAATATTTTGTAGTAAATGGACCTTGATAAAATACTGTCAGCAAACTTGGACTTCATTGTTATGTAAATGAAATTTTCAGTTTCAACAATGAGAGATATAATATGACTGTCATTTTTCATGGGTCAAATACTAGCACATCATTACTATAAGAAAATGTATTAAAGAATATAAAACGTGTACATACTTTTAGGTTGTTTAAACTACATTTTAAAATAGTTTTAGTTTGTTGATATGAAATGACGGATGCTCTGTTTGATTTTTATAGAGCCACTTACAGAAAATTTTATACAAAATGAGAATTTTCCCACAATTGATAAGCATCATATGTATGATTTTTTTCACTGTCCATTTCCTATTACAATTGTAGTTCAGGTGAGATGATAGAAATGGATTAATATTTGATAACTTTAATATATCACTTGGATGATTTACAGTTTTGTTGATTGACATTTGATCACACTACATTTGTGATCAGACACAAAATTTGATACCTGATATAAATAGGAAATAATTTTAAATTGAAATTTGCCCATTGATACTAAAATCAAGTTTGAACAGATATTTTCAAAAGATTAATGCAATCTGAAATTTCTCCAGGTTGTATTAAGTCTATAAGAACCAGTTCTGTCAATTTTAATATTATGTTAAAATATCTGTTGAACCTTGAATGTTAAAAGTCATTTTTATACGCCCGTTTATGGGACATATTATGGTATACCGTTGTCCGTCCGTCGTCAACATGTCGGACATTAACTCAAAAAAGCTTAAACACCAATTTGCATAAAACTTTGGTGAATTGTTTCACAGGCACTTGTCTGAGAAAATAATTTCCTATATACCTTAATATAACTCGAAATTTTTTTTCTGAGACAAGTGCCTGTGAATTGTTTATATCTATTGACGTGAGCTCCCTTTCGTTTTTTATTAATTTTAGATTTTACGTTTCCGAGTTATGGGGTTTTATTCATTAAAAAAAGGGGGATTTTCCAGTTTTCGGACAAAAAATCAAAAATGCTTTCAGCAGTTCTTATGAAACTTTGGTGAATTGTTTATATCTATTGATGTAAGCTCTGTTTAGAATTCTATAAATTTTTCATTTATCATTTCTGAGTTATGGGGTTTTATTCATAAAAAAAGAGGGGATTTTCCAGTTTTCGGACAATAACTCAAAAATGCTGTCAGTAATTCTCATGAAACTTTGGTGAATTGTTTATATCTATTGATGTAAGCTCCCTTTACATTTTCATAAATTTCTAATATGACATTGAGAATTAATTGAACTTTATTTGTTTATAGTCTGACAACAGATTTACTAAGTATTGCACAACAGCAAGAAATCTTTAATTGAATATAAATTCAATTCATATAACCAATTTCAAGTTCTTTGACTACATTTATTCAGAAACCTATAATATGTCAAATATTTAATTACAATCCAAATTCAGACCTGTATCAAGCTTGAATATTGTGTCCATTTTTGCCCCAACTGTTCAGGGTTGGACCTCTGCGGGCGTATCCAGCTGCGCTCAGCGAAGCAGTTTATTGCCTTTTAGTGTTGTTTTCAAGCTAAAAGTACATGTTGTTTTTATTTTATACACATGATGCAGTTATTTGACAGTACATGCATTTTTAACTGAATGACCTTGTACACACTGTACAAATGTTTGCATGGTTATATATATGATCATTGCAAAAGGTCCATTACATGTATGAAGAGCTGAGCCATTTCTTGGTAGTGACCAAAAAAGAATTTTTACAGTTGATTTACATTGATAAACATGTACATAACACTACTGAATACACAAAATGACCTTTGTCTTACTACTCGAGCTGTAAGTTAATAAGTTAATAGCATTTACTGGTCATTTGGCACAAGGGGATTGATCACTTTGAACATTAATATTCTTAGGCAAAACATGAATGATATAACAAAGTATTTTTTTGCTTTTCCTAGAATTTCTGTGTTATTGCTGAGTTATAGCTATTCAATCACTATTATTACTTGAACCTCTGCACTCCTAGATTCATTCATTCATGAACATATGATTGATTTCATCAACATGTGCAATTTACCTGAAGTCTGTCATGTACATTTAAACAACACACTTTTATCCTTTATGTCCTTAAGATATGTGTAAATTAATGCATCAATTAGCTAGTCACACATTTAAAATATAAATAATTTTGTGTTTGCAGCACCAATATGTCGTTGGCCAATGGGGTCTGCTACAGATGTAACGAGGGCTTTACTCCTCAAGAACAGATAGTCAACTCTAATGGAGAGATTTGGCACACCCAATGTTTCGTGTAAGTTTTTATATAAAATGTAGATCTAGATGTTCTACTGTTTTGTTGTTAGCTTCTTAGTTCATGTGTTAATGTATCTAATATTTTACCTCTGTTAAAATGTCTGAAATACAACGCTTAGAAGTAGAACTAGTCACTTTAGAAATTAGTAAATATTTAATTTATTGAAATTGTATAATATATATTATTCATTGCCATTGGGGATTCAAAAGAAAACAGTACGAATTTGATTGACTGAGTACATCATATAACATGTCTACTACTTATTTATTCATTATTTCAAAATATATTAGATGTTTGTTTGTACGTTTAGATTATATATGCCTGCTGTCACTATATCTCTTTCGCTTCATGAATATATTTAATGCACTCAAATACATGTATTTAAAGAATGTTGTTTTGTGTGAGCCTTTTTGTATAATATATATATGTGTGTGTTGCCTTGAACAGCAATAGAACTTGTGACTTGCCATGTTCACATTGTGGCATGATTGTTAATGATAAGGAGTCTATGATCAGCTTTGGAGGTGATGTATGGCACCAACAATGTTTTGTGTAAGTACTGCCATAAGTTTTGATACCAATTATCTCCCCTTTTCCCCCTTCCTGATCTAACATTGGTTTTCTAGCAGCATTATTGGCCTAAGTGCATTGCTTAGAATTTTCTTGCAATGATGACTTTCTGTCTCTACCACTTATCCTTTACTCCTAAACCTTCATTTTATTCTTCATCATGTTCATCATATTGTTTATATACATACCTACAGCATAGGTGGGTTTTGCTTTTTCCCACCCATTCACTCTGGAGTTTGCATAAAAGAGGTGCAAAGTAGTATACCTAGGTTGCTAGTCTGCTCATGTTTTACTTTCAGGCTACAATAATTTAATTAAATACTTGGCCTCAACTTTATTTTAAAATGTGGAAGGGTTTGAAGTGAGAAAGAAAAATAAAGCAAGAACTATCATATGTGTGAAAACATTATTTTTTCACTCAAGGTTTATATATATATTCTTCTATATTTTACATCATTTTATAGTACCTAGTAGTCTGAAGACTTTTAGTCATTTCACAAGCACTGTCCTCAGGTGGTGATTGTTATGCCCCCGCTGTAGGCAATGGGGGCATTAAGTGTTACCCTTGACCTTCCTTTCATCCCATTTTCGTTTCCACACTCTTGACTTTAAGTTTGCCTCATGCAAATTTTATGAAACTCATACACAATGCCAAGAACCACAACACGCAGACAGAGTTTGAATTTGGGTTGTGAGTCATTTAATTTACATTTCTACAGCTATTAATCCCTTTTTGTCCCCCACTCAACACGTTGCAGGGGGACATAGAAATACCGGGGGGTCTGTCCGTCCGGTCTTGTTAGTGCTCTCACGTGTACAGTTCTTGCCAGATTTTTATACGACCGCATTTCGTATATAGGTATGACGTTGGCGTCGTCGTTGTCATCCGAAGACACATTGGTTTTCGCACTCTAACTTTAGTTTTAGTGAATGGAATTCTATGAAATTTTACCATAAGGTTCAATACCACAAAAGGAAGGTTGGGATTGATATTGGGGGTTATATGGTACCAACATTTAAGGAATTAGGGGCCAAAAATAAGCATTTTTGTAACTTCCAGACATAACTTGTGTGTTAGTGTATGGATCTCTCTGACATTGTACCACAAGGTTCCATATCACAAAGGAAATGCTGAGATTGATTTGGGGGGTAATTGCCCGAAACGTTTAGGAATAAGGGGCCAAAAAAAGGGGCAAAAACAAGCATTTTTCTAGTTTCATGACAATAACTTGTGTGTAAGTGTATGGATCTTTATGAAATAGTACTACAAGGTTCCATATCACAAAGGGAAAGCTGGAATTGAGTTTGGGTGTAATTGCCCAAAACGTTTAGGAATAAGGGGCAAAAAATAAGCATTTTTCTAGTTTCCAGACAATAACTTGTGCTCAAGTGTATGGATCTCTCTGAAATTGTAATGCAAGGTACCATACCACAAAGGGAAGGTTGGGATTGATTTTGGGGGTAATTGCCTCAAAATTTTAGGAATTAGGGGCCAAAAAGGGGCAAAATACAAGCATTTTTCTAGTTTCAGGACAATAACTTGTGTGTAAGTGTATGGATCTTTATAAAATTGTACTACAAGGTTCCATATCACAAAGGGAAAGCTGGGTTTGAGTTTGGGGGTAATTGCCCATAAACGTTAAGGAATTTGGGGCCAGAAAGGGGCTTAAAAACAAGCATTTTTCTAGTTTCCAGACAATAACTTGTGTTCAAGTGTATGGATCTCTCTGACATTGTACCACAATGTTCCATATCACAAAGGGAATGCTGGGATTGAATTTGGGGGTGATGAATCATAAGGGTCATGAATTCAAAAAATTTGGGGGAGGGATTTTTTTTTCCTTTTTATACGACCGGAAAAAAATTTTTGGGATCGTATAATGGTATGATGTCGTCGTCCGAAGACACATTGGTTTCCGGACAATAACTTTAGTTTAAGTGAATGGATCTCTATGAAATTTTTTAAGAAGGTTCAATACCACAAAAGGAAGGTTGGGATTGATTTTGGGGATGATGGTCCCAACCTTTTAGGAATTAGGGGCCCAAAAAGGGGCCCAAAACAAGCATTTTTCTAGTTTCAGGATAATAACTTGTGTATAAGTATTTCATTTGCTCTGAAATTGTATCTCAATGTTTAATACCACAAGTAGAAGGTTGGGATTCATTTTAGGGGTTATGGGGGCCAACAGTTTAGGAATTAAGGGCCAAAATACAAGCATTTTTCTAGTTTCCAGACAATAACTTGTGTGTAAGTGTATGGATCTCTCTGACATTGTACCACAAGGTTCCATATAACAAAGGGAAGGCTGGGATTGAGTTTGGGGTTAATTGCCCCAAACATGTAGGAATTAAGGGCCAAAAACAAGCATTTTTCTAGTTTCCAGACAATAACTTGTGTGTAGGTGTATGGATCTTTCTGAAATTGTACTACAAGGTTCCATACTATAAAGGAAAGGCTGGGATTGTGTTTTGGGGTTATTGCTCCAAGGGGGGTTCAAAAAGTTGGGGGGGGGGGGGGGGGGGAGTTTTTCCCAATTTTTTTTAAGGGATTCATATTTTTTTTCAAAATTTTTTAAATTTCGAATTTTTGAAAAGTTTCAATAAGAAATCTTCAATTGCACAGTATTTGCAAAGGATTTATAAGATCTTTGACCACATTTATTTTGTGTCATATGCGTCATAAACCTATATTATGTCAAAAATTTGATCACAATCAAATTCAGACAGTATCAAGCTTGAATATTGTGTCCAAATTTGCCCCAACTGTTCAGGGTCGACCTCTGCGGTCGTATCAGGCATCGCTCAGCGAAGCATTTTATTTTCCTTTTTTTTTCTTTTAAATTTTCCATTTTGAATTGGTTATTTCTGATTTATATATAAAAGCATAGGTAAGTTAAAAAATTTTAAGTTCTTAGACCACATTCATTCTGTGTCAGAAACCTATGCTGCGTCAAATATTTAATCACAACCCAAATTCAGTGATGTATCAAGCTTGAATGTTGTGTCCATACTTGCCCCAACTGTTCAGGGTTCGACCTCTGCGGTCGTATCAAGCTGCGCCCAGCGGAGCATTTTATTAAAAGTGTTATGCCCCTTGGAAATATTAATTATATGGAAAACTGCATTTAACTGCTTTCGCATGTACAATTCTTGTCAGATTTTTTAAAAACATATAACAAAGGTTTATATCAGCAATGTATCGGACAAGTTTTGAAAATCAGTGCCAATCAATTATTTTTGAAAGAGTTATGCCCCTTGGAAATATTAGTTAAATGGAAAATTGCATTTATCTGCTTTCACATGTACAATTCTTGCCAGATTTTTATGAATCTTATATCATAGGTTTATATCAGCAATGTCTAGGGTAAGTTTAAAAGTCAGTGCCCATCAATTATTATACGACTGCAAAAAAAATTTGCGGTCGTATATTGGTATGACGTTGGTATCGTCGTTGGTTTTCGCAATCTAACTTAAGTTTCAGTGAATGGATCTCTTTGAAATTTTACCATACGGTTCAATACCACAAAAGGAAGGTTGGGATTGATTTTGGGGGTTATGGTACCCACAGTTAAGGAATTAGGGGCCAAAAATAAGCATTTTTGTAACTTCCAGACATAACTTGTGTGTTAGTGTATGGATCTCTTTGACATTGTACCACAAGGTTTTATATCACAAAGGGAATGCTGAGATTGATTTGGGGGGTAATTGCCCGAAACGTTTAGGAATAAGGGGCCAAAAAAGGGGCAAAAAACAAGTATTTTTCTAGTTTCATGACAATAACTTGTGTGTAAGTGTATGGATCTTTATGAAATTGTACTACAAGGTTCCATTTTAGGAATAAGGGGCCAAAAAGGGTCCAAAAATAAGCATTTTTCTAGTTTCCAGACAATAACTTGTGTTCAAGTGTATGGATCTCTCTGAAATTGTACTGCACGATACCATACCACAAAGGAAAGGCTGGGATTGATTTGGGGGGTAATTGCCTCAAAATTTTTGGAATTAGGGGCCAAAAAGGGGCAAAAAACAAGCATTTTTCTAGTTTCAGGACAATAACTTGTGTGTAAGTGTCTGGATCTTTATGAAATTGTACTACAAGGTTCCATATCACAAAGGGAAAGCTGGGTTTGAGTTTGGGGCCAAAAAACAAGCATTTTTCTAGTTTCCAGACAATAACTTGTGTTCAAGTGTATGAATCTCCCTGAAATTGTACTGCAAGGTTCCATACCATAAAGGGAAGGTTGGGATTGATTTTGGGGGTGATGAATCATAAGGGGGTTCAAAAAATTTAGGGGGGGAATTTTTTTTTCCTTTTTTTTTCTTTAAAATTTTCCATTTTAAATTGGTTATTTCTGATTTATATTTAAAAGCGAATAGTAATGATATGGTTTGAATAGGTAAATTAAAAAATTTTAAGTTCTTAGACCACATTCATTCTGTGTCAGAAACCTATGCTTTGTCAAATATTTAATCACAATCCAAATTCATTGCTGTATCAAGCTTGAATGTTGTGTCCATACTTGCCCCAACTGTTCAGGGTTCAACCTCTGAGGTCGTATAAAGCTGCGCCCAGCGGAGCATTTTATTTTTAAAAGAGTTATGCCTCTTGGAAATATTAATTATATAGGAAATTGCATTGTTAGCGCTCTCATGTCATGCATGTGTACAATTCTGGCCATTTATCAAATTTATATCAAAGGTTTATATCAGCGATGTAGACATTTTTCAAAATCAGTGCCAATCAAATATTATTAAAAGAGTTATGCCCCTTGGAAACATTAATTATATTGGGAATTGCATTGCATTTGCTCTCAAGCCTTCATTTCTCAAAGATATTTATAAGTTATTGCCCTTGAACAGATAAAATATGTGCAATACGGGGGACATTGGAACTCTGTTTTTCTCTCAACTTGGAAAATTGCAAAATTTGAGCAGGGACATTTATGTTCTCAGACACATTCTTCTTTTGTCTAATATACATTGCCTGATAATAGCTTTCAGGATGGTCTTCTATTTTCTGTTTGACATATTCCAATTTAACGCATGATTAAGGTATAATCTGATATTTTTATGCCCCCGCCGGGGGCATTAAGTTTTACCCTTGTACGTCCGTCCGTACGTCCCAAAATTGGTTTCCGTTCTCTAACTTTAGTTTGCATCAACCAAATTTTAGGAAACTTTTACACAATGCTTATTACCACAAAACTCAGATCAAGTAAGAATTTGGGTAGCGTCACTTTTACCGTTCTTGAGTTATGTCCTCTTTATAATGTTGTATGCAAGAGGGGCATCATCTGTGCCCCATGGACACATTCCTCATTTATTTAGGCATAGCTCAACCAACAAAAAGGAAAGTTAGCTTCCTTGAAAGAAATGTTTATTAAGAACATGCAAGACTTTAGATAAAAAATTTGTTACAGATTTTCTCCTAGCCATATAATACCCCCGCTTATGGAAAGAATGGTATACTGCAATCACCTTGTCTGTTCCTTCATCTGCTTTGTTACATATAACTCACTTTCTGTATTAATTAGGGATAATTTGATATAATTGAACTGAAACTTTATATGTTTATTTGTACAGTGTGATTTGCAGATCTACTTGGTAGTCACTTCTTGAATTACAACACGTTGAATAATTGTTTCGATTGCAACTTTTAGGGGACTTATAGTTGCTGTTGACCAGCAAACTTACCTAATTTGAGGATTTCCCCTATGAGAGGTGATAACCTGACATCTGGAATCCTTAATTATGTAATCTAAATACCTAAAACAGGCATTCAAAGAGTTTACAAAAACATTTTAGTTCATTTATACTCATGTAAAACCTTAGAATATTAGATTAGACATGTATGCCATGTATAAGAGTTGCATTAGATCCTTGTGAACAAAATACCCATGATGATTTTGAAAAGATGGCAGGATTCCCTTGCTACCACTGGCGGCATCAACAATTGTTACAGTTTGTAATTGGGTTACTCAGGCGAGACATAATTTCTAAAAACAGATTATTATTATACCTACTGACCATGACAACAGCAACCCTAAATTGTAAATCTCCTAAAAGTTGCAAGACAACCTTTACCAATTTGATCTTGAACGTGTTCCTTTAAACTCTACGTTTAATTCATATTTGTCTTAAAGTAAAATATCCCTAATGCCAGCCATTATTTTACATAGATTGCCAGTAAATTTTACAGTCTAACCTCTAAAAAAAAAATGTTTCCTGATAAATCCCTCATGTAAGAAGTCATGCTTATGCACCCATGGTGCTTCTGTTATTTTGTTGAATCTCTTTAAGATATTTTTTCTAAATGATATGTTGAATTTGCTTAATCAGCATGAACCCAGCCCTATGAAAGAAGATTTAATATTTTATAATACACACCTGGAACAGAAACAGATAATGTACTTACAGTATAAAATATGTAATATAACTCTATTTATTATCTGTTTTATAGCTAGTGTCATATTGCATATTAAGTTTTATTATTTATGGCCATATCCTGTACATTATATTGTTCATACTTGCATCCTAATTATAAAGGTCTACTTGCTCTATCATCTATGAAACTAAATGCATGCATATGTATTTTGTCTCTAAATTTTAAGCATGAATATCAAAGTTTTTTTTCAGGATATTGTGATGAATATTAAAACGTCTTATTTACCTCAATCATTTTTGAAAAATTCACAAAAGCAGGCTTTTATAGAGATGATAGACTTTAAGGCTACAGATACACATCACTGTTAATATACATGTTAAAATCGATTAAAAAGTAGAAAGTTTAATGCTTTTCATTAATTGATTGGCTACAGTCTAGGAGACATATATTATTCATGTCTTATTGTGTATCAAAAGATCAAACTGCGTTGACTGGAGAAAATTTTAATAAATACAATGTATGTATGTAATATATAATTCACTTCATAAGTTAATTAGCTGCAGTCTGGAAGGAATATATGGTCCATGTCAAACACATGGAGAACTTGCTCTGTGGCATTTTTTAACAGATAATTACATAAGACAATGAAGGCTGAAGTAATAATTACAATGAACACACACACACATATTTGATCAGAGAGCAGAGTTTAATTAATAGAAAGCTGTGTATAAAAATGTTATAAGTAGTTTTTCACTTGCTACATGTTTGGGGGAGGGGGGGGATATATATAAAGAAACATCATGTAAACAAACATCAATTTTCAAAATGATCAAGTGATCTTTTTAGATTGAATTTCAAGATTCCCTTTTATATATATATATATATATGAAAACTGTAAAGTATCCAATAATGTATAATTTTCTTCTCTTTTTTTTAACAGATGTGCTCAGTGCTTCCAGCCTTTTCAAGATGGAGTTTTTTATGAGGTACTTCTATATTATCCACTGTTTGTCTTTCCTTTTCATCACAGTTTATTGAATTTAAGATATATTAAGATTTTTAAAAAGTTGACCAAATAGTAAGAATTTTACATTTATTTTGCAGTAGCTATCAAGATACAAAAGAGAAAGTCATAACAATAGATTGATAGTATAGATTTTATGCTACACAAAAAAAATTCAAGAAAGCAATAAAGTTTAATGCTTTGCATATAAGCTATTTGTCCTTCCATAATAAATACTTCACCTGTGAAGATTAAAAATTAAATTGTTGTAACATGTATTCGCTGTACCACTACTATAACATATTTTCTATGGTGCATTAAGTGTTACCCTTGACCATCTCTCTTTCTGTCCTTCAGTCGGTCCCATTTTCGTTTCCACACACTATCACTAACTGAAGTTTACCTGATCCAAATTTATGAAATTCATACACAATGCTGAGAACCATAACTTGAAGACAGAGTTTGAATTTGGACTGTGAGTCACTTACCGTTCTAGAGTTATGCCCTTTATAACTTGGAAAATTGCAAATTTTTTTGTTTCTGCACTCTTTATTAAATAAAGTTTTTCTCACCCAAATTTTATGAAACTCATACACAATGCTAAGAACCAAAACTTGCAGACTAGAGTTTGAATTTGGGCAGTATTTCATAAACTGTTCTAGAGTTGTGCCCTTTATAACTTGGAAAATTGCAAAATTTTCCTTGCAATTTTCCGTTTCCACCCTCTAACAAGTTTTTCTCACCAAAATTTTATGAAACTCATTCACAATGCTAAAAACCAAAAACTTGCAGACAGAGTTCGAATTTGGGCAGTGAGTCGTTTACCGTTTAGAGTTATGCCCCTTTTTAAATTGGAAAATTGCAAAGCTTGAGCAGGGGCATTCCTGTCCTCAGACACATTCTTCTTTTAAGTGTGATTGTTATTTCTGAAAAAGGAATAACATAAGACTAAAAAAAATAATGAACTAACACATACTTAAGTATTTTTACATAGAACAATACAAACATGCAAATTAAAAAAACAAAAACAGACTGTTGGGATCCCGCTAACATGTTTAACCCCGCCACATTCTGTATGTATGTGCCTGTCCCAAGTCAGGAGCCTGTAATTCAGTGGTTGTCGTTTGTTTATGTGTTACATATTTGTTTTTCGTTCATTTTTTGTACATAAATTAGGCCGTTAGTTTTCTCGTTTGAATTGTTTTACATTGTCATTTCGGGCCTTTTATAGCTGACTGTGCGGTACATGCTTTACTCTTTGTTGAAGGCCGTACACTGACCTATAGTTGTTAATTACTGTGTCATTTGGTCTCTTGTGGAGAGTTGTCTCATTGGCAATCATACCACATCTTCTTTTTTATATATATATATAGGCATTTGTACTCTGCATAAAGTCAGTAAATAGTGAACATAAACAATTTTATGTAGTTCTCCTAAAGCATGAGATTAAAAGGAGTTGTGGGATATATATCTATTAATTTAACAATAGACAGATATCTTGTCTATACAGAATGCACTGTTAGCCACTAATCCGATGCCCCAGACTAGTAATATTTTATTTTGACTAGTTAGTATTTGCAAAACTTTGTTTAGTTTCATAAGAAAAATGTCAGAAAATTGGTCTTCCTGCTAATAGTTGGATAAGATTTTGGTGCAGACTGTCTATACAATAAGTCAAGCTCTATATTGCCTCTTTACTAAGAAATAAGTTCTGAGTTAAGTTAACAGGAACTATGAAAAAGCTGCCATCAGCACCAACTTCACCAAATTCTCCGCATGACTTTGAACTAAAAGACATTAAGATGAGGTTCCTGACTTTGGATAAATGGACAAGGATGTAAATAACTACACATCATTTTACTGCCTTTAACAATAGGCACTTCATAGATTGATGTAAATATGTTACCTATAATATAAATGTATAAGGTATAGAACCACTAATTCAGGCCCGGTCGGAAAGAACATACAAGAAAGTAGTACATATTTTAAACAAAATAGTTCCTACGCATAGCTGTATCTTTGTCAATAGTTGGAATATTTGGGTTGTTTTAGTATCAAATGAAAGCTTGGGGACTTGGAATTACTGTAGAACCCTTGTTGAAAGTTTTATTTGAATAATAAAGAAGTATAAGAAATTTTAATAGGAGGGCTCATTTGGCCTGTTGTCCAGGTCAGAAGTTCCTGTTTTTGTACTATCAAACTTCCGGGAACCAGAACGCTCTAATATGCAATTAAAGGTATGTTGATTTTTTCAGCACAAGTCAGGATAAGGTACAAGTTTGACATGAAATAACTGCCACTTTATTTGAACTTAAGATAAAGTAGCCAGTAATGCTTGAAATTGCAGAATTTAACATAGAAAGCAATGGGGCTATGAATTAGTGGTTGTATACCTATTACCGACAGGCATGTGAAATTTTATTTTTAGAAATCATACCCTTTACAGTGAAAATTGGTCACATTTGTTGTCAGAAATCATGTTACATTAATTTGTGTATGTAACAATTATGTTAGTGTCAAATTACAGCCCTCAAATTGCTACAATAAGGTATTTTAGCCTTTTTTGGTCATTTAGCATGCACACAGTTAAGATTTTGCCTGAAATTTTAATTTGTGGATTATCTAAAACTGAAACCAATAAAACTTGTATATTATGACTAGTTTATAGTATAAATATTGTTTTTGGTCAAATTATCTAGTGAGTGTTCATGTTTTATTGTGTTTCTTAGTGAATTATTTATTTCAAGGAAAACTAGTGTATACTTATATAGGAATTCCAAAATCTCACTTGAAATGCATTTTATAACCATTTTAGCAAGTTGTCTAGCTTGGATATACATAAATTGCTATTGTTGATCCATGTTTATACATAAAAGTATGTTTTTTTACCAAATCGCTCTCCTTTTCCAACATGTAGAAAAAGGGGGGGACAAAATTCTCAATTATATTTTATGTTTGGACCACTGTATTTATATTCAAGGAAGAATCTCTGATAAAAATAAGACATATAGGTAAGAACACTGTTAATTGAGTAGATATTAACAAATCAGAACTGGTAAAAATTGAAAAAGTGTCATATCTGTCACTATAAGTATCCACATGTAGTTTTTTGTTTAACGCATATGTTACTACCAGTTCAATTTGAGCTTGAATTAGGTGATATAGTGTTTTGACAAAAGCTTTATGTGTTTTTCTATGCTAGAAATAGATCATAGAAGGAAATTGTGTCAAGCAGAAGTCAATATAACAAGTTTGGTGCTGTTATAGGTATAGAACCACTAATTCAGGCCCGGTCGGAAAGAACATACAAGAAAGTAGTACATATTTTAAACAAAATAGTTCCTACGCATAGCTGTATCTTTGTCAATAGTTGGAATATTTGGGTTGTTTTAGTATCAAATGAAAGCTTGGGGACTTGGAATTACTGTAGAACCCTTGTTGAAAGTTTTATTTGAATAATAAAGAAGTATAAGAAATTTTAATAGGAGGGCTCATTTGGCCTGTTGTCCAGGTCAGAAGTTCCTGTTTTTGTACTATCAAACTTCCGGGAACCAGAACGCTCTAATATGCAATTAAAGGTATGTTGATTTTTTCAGCACAAGTCAGGATAAGGTACAAGTTTGACATGAAATAACTGCCACTTTATTTGAACTTAAGATAAAGTAGCCAGTAATGCTTGAAATTGCAGAATTTAACATAGAAAGCAATGGGGCTATGAATTAGTGGTTGTATACCTATTACCGACAGGCATGTGAAATTTTATTTTTAGAAATCATACCCTTTACAGTGAAAATTGGTCACATTTGTTGTCAGAAATCATGTTACATTAATTTGTGTATGTAACAATTATGTTAGTGTCAAATTACAGCCCTCAAATTGCTACAATAAGGTATTTTAGCCTTTTTTGGTCATTTAGCATGCACACAGTTAAGATTTTGCCTGAAATTTTAATTTGTGGATTATCTAAAACTGAAACCAATAAAACTTGTATATTATGACTAGTTTATAGTATAAATATTGTTTTTGGTCAAATTATCTAGTGAGTGTTCATGTTTTATTGTGTTTCTTAGTGAATTATTTATTTCAAGGAAAACTAGTGTATACTTATATAGGAATTCCAAAATCTCACTTGAAATGCATTTTATAACCATTTTAGCAAGTTGTCTAGCTTGGATATACATAAATTGCTATTGTTGATCCATGTTTATACATAAAAGTATGTTTTTTTACCAAATCGCTCTCCTTTTCCAACATGTAGAAAAAGGGGGGGGACAAAATTCTCAATTATATTTTATGTTTGGACCACTGTATTTATATTCAAGGAAGAATCTCTGATAAAAATAAGACATATAGGTAAGAACACTGTTAATTGAGTAGATATTAACAAATCAGACCTGGTAAAAATTGAAAAAGTGTCATATCTGTCACTATAAGTATCCACATGTAGTTTTTTGTTTAACGCATATGTTACTACCAGTTCAATTTGAGCTTGAATTAGGTGATATAGTGTTTTGACAAAAGCTTTATGTGTTTTTCTATGCTAGAAATAGATCATAGAAGGAAATTGTGTCAAGCAGAAGTCAATATAACAAGTTTGGTGCTGTTATAGGTATAGAACCACTAATTCAGGCCCGGTCGGAAAGAACATACAAGAAAGTAGTACATATTTTAAACAAAATAGTTCCTACGCATAGCTGTATCTTTGTCAATAGTTGGAATATTTGGGTTGTTTTAGTATCAAATGAAAGCTTGGGGACTTGGAATTACTGTAGAACCCTTGTTGAAAGTTTTATTTGAATAATAAAGAAGTATAAGAAATTTTAATAGGAGGGCTCATTTGGCCTGTTGTCCAGGTCAGAAGTTCCTGTTTTTGTACTATCAAACTTCCGGGAACCAGAACGCTCTAATATGCAATTAAAGGTATGTTGATTTTTTCAGCACAAGTCAGGATAAGGTACAAGTTTGACATGAAATAACTGCCACTTTATTTGAACTTAAGATAAAGTAGCCAGTAATGCTTGAAATTGCAGAATTTAACATAGAAAGCAATGGGGCTATGAATTAGTGGTTGTATACCATAAGAACAAAAAGTAGCCTGATCTAGTAATAATACATAAGTACAAACCAGCACACAAAGAAAAAATCACTTACGGCTATTTCAGGATAAAAATGTATAGGGATTATGGTTGGACAACACTTATTTATGAACCCCACCAGCCATAATTTTTATTTGTAAAGGATTATATATTTGCTTCCACCTCGATTACTCAAAAAAAAATTTCGTGTAATTTCCAACCTCCAATACATTCTTTCCATTGAATAGCTTTTATAGAAGTTAATATAAGCAAAAAGACATACATGTATGTAATTGTTTACATTTTTATTTCAGTTCGATGGAAGAAAGTACTGTGAACATGACTTTCATATGCTGTTTGCTCCTTGCTGTGGAAAGTGCAGTAAGCATTATTCCTAAAGCAAAAATATATACATATATATGTAATTTTCCAGAAAATATCTCTTTACTCATTTAAGCTGTTGCAATGATCCATCTATCTGTAAACATGTCTTATAAGACATCAGTTTTTTTTAACTTAAGTGAACTTTCACCAATTTTGCTCCTATGAATATTTGACCAGAAAAGTAAATTAATCATTCATGTCCAGGGGTGTGGAAATATTTGTTGTGAGCACTTGTCCCTGGGCAAGTAAAACTGAATTTCCCATTAGAAGTACAATGTGTTTCACTTATATGATTCTTGAAACTGTTTTAATTTAGTATCACAATATAAATGATGTTTGTGATATTTGTTTATGTGTTTAAATAAAAAGAGGTAAGGTGTTAACATCAGTGAGACAGAAACCCAAAGCAACCAAAAGACATCTAGAGGACAATTTTGCAATGTTTGTTCATGCCTATCAACCTCAGACTGATTGACTATAGCCAAAGCCTTGGCCATTTCCCCAGACATTTTCTTAATTTTACTGATTTTTATGGCTCCACAACACATAATCTGCTTTTTAGGACATATAGCTTTCAGTTTAGGTCATTACAGACAAATATGACCGTTTCCAGACCCTTGTTTCCACACTTCCAATGACATACTAAAATTCACTTTTACAACAAAACAATTATTGCAGTGTTACACCCTGTATAAAGATAAAATTTCATCATGAAATATCACCTCAAAATGGTTATGTTAACATTAGGGTAAATGTTCTCATTGTGTTGTAAGTTTTGTCGTAAAATTGAAGGTGTTTATACATACATATATTATCACTTGTAGAATATTATTTGCACCAACAAATTCATGTTATATTATATTTCTACTAAGGGCAATAGTTACCAATTTTTATACGACCGAAAAAATAATTTTGTGGTCGTATATTGGTATGACGTTGGCGTCGTCCGAAGACACATTGGTTTTCGCACTCTAACTTTAGTTTAAGTGAATGGATCTCTATGAAATTTTACCATAAGGTTCAATACCACAAAAGGAAGGTTGGGATTGATTTTGGGGGTTATGGTAACAACAGTTAAGGAATTAGGGGCCCAAAAGGGGCCAAAAATAAGCATTTTTGTAACTTCCAGACATTACTTGTGTGTTAGCGTATGGATCTCTCTGACATTGTACCACAAGGTTCCATATCACGAAGAGAATGCTGGGATTGGTTTTGGGGGTAATTTCTTCAAAATTTTAGGAATTAGGGGCCAAAAAAGGGGCAAAAAACAAGCATTTTTATACACCCGTTTACGGGACGTATTATGGTATACCTCTGTCCGTCCGTCCGTCTGTCCGTCCGTCTGTCCGTCGTCAACATGTCGGACATTAACTCAAGAATGCTTTAACCAATTTGCATAAAACTTTGGTGAATTGTTTATATCTATTGACGTGAGCTCCCTTTCGTTTTTTATAAAATTTAGATTTTACGTTTCCGAGTTATGGGGTTTTATTCATTAAAAAAAGGGGGATTTTCCAGTTTTCGGACAATAAGTCAAGAATGCTTTCACCAACTTGCAAGAAATTGTGGTGAATTGTTAATATCTATTAACATGAGCTCTCTTTTGATTTTTATAAATTTTAGATTTTACATTTCCGAGTTACAGGGTTTTATCCATAAAAAAAGGGGGGATTTTTCAGTTTTCGGACAAAAACTCAAAAATGCTTTCAGCAATTCTTATGAAACTTTGGTGAATTGTTTGTATGTATTGATGTAAACTCTCTTTAGAATTTTATAAATTTTACATTTAACATTTCTGAGTTATGGGGTTTTATTCATTAAAAAAAGGGTGATTTTCCAGTTTTCAGACAATAACTCAAAAATGCTGTCACCAATTCTTATGAAACTTTGGTGAATTGTTTATATCTATTGATGTAAGCTCCCTTTTTATTTTCATAAATTTCTAATATGGCATTGAGAATTAATTGAACTTTATTTGTTTATAGTCTTGACAACAGATTTACTAAGTGTTGCACAACAGCAAGAAATTTTTAATTGAATATAAATTCAATTCATATAACCAATTTAAGTTCTTTGAATACATTTATTCAGAAACCTATAATATGTCAAATATTTAATTACAATCCAAATTCAGACCTGAATCAAGCTTGAATATTGTGTCCATTTCTGCCCCAACTGTTCAGGGTCGGACCTCTGCGGGCGTATCTAGCTGCGCTCAGCGAAGCAGTTTATTCTAGTTTCCAGACAATAACTTGTGTTCAAGTGTATGGATCTTTCTGAAATCGTACTACAAGGTTCCATATCACAAAGGGAAAGCTTGAATTGAGTTTGGGGGTAATTGCCCAAAACGTTTAGGAATAAGGGGCCAAAAATAAGCATTTTTCTAGTTTCCAGACAAAAACTTGTGTTCAAGTGTATGGATCTCTCTGAAATTGATCTGCAAGGTTCCATACCACAAAGGAAAGGCTGGGATTGATTTTGGGGGTAATTGCCTCAAAATTTTAGGAATTAGGGGCCACAAAGGGGTAAAAAACAAGCATTTTTCTAGTTTCAGGACAATAACTTGTGTGTAAGTGTATGGATCTTTCTGAAATTGTACTACAAGGTTCCATATCACAAAGGGAAAGCTGGGTTTGAGTTTGGGGGTAATTGCCCTTAATGTTTAGGAATTTGGGGCCAAAAAGGGGCCTAAAAACAAGCATTTTTCTAGTTTCCAGACAATAACTTGTGTTCAAGTGTATGGATCTCTGAAATTGTACTGCAAGATACCATACCACAAAGGGAAGGCTGGGATTGAGTTTGGGGGTGATGAATCATAAGGGGGTTCAAAAAATTTGGGGGAGGGATTTTTTTTTCCTTTTTTTTTCTTTAAAATTTTCCATTTTAAATTGGTTATTTCTGATTTATATATAAAAGCAAATAATAATGATATGGTTTGAAAAGGTAAATTAAAAAATTTTAAATTCTTAGACCACATTCATTCTGTGTCAGAAACCTATGCTGTGTCAAATATTTAATCACAATCCAAATTCAGTGCTGTATCAAGCTTGAATGTTGTGTCCATACTTGCCCCAACTGTTCAGGGTTCGACCTCTGCGGTCGTATCAAGCTGCGCCCAGCGGAGCATTTTATTGTGCTATAACCCTATATTTATGCAAGTTCTGGAGTGCACTTGCTCCAAATTTCTCATCAAAAGTTAAAATAAAAAGTTTGAAAATGTTATTATTCATTGATGAATACCATGATTATGTTGTTAAATTTTATATAACCTTTTTAATTTCAGGAGAATTTATCATTGGTAGAGTGATTAAAGCTATGAATAGTAACTGGCATCCAGATTGTTTTAGATGTGAATTGTGTACAGCACCTCTGGCTGATTGTGGATTTGTCAAAAATGCTGGAAGGTTTGAGACTTTTGCTAGAATATACATTTTAGAATTAAAAATTATTGAAATAAAATCTGTGTGAGTTTTGGACACAGGTCTTGCATAGATCTCTCTATCAACAAACATTACCAAGAAAAATCCAAATTACAGGAAGGAAAATTATAAGAAAATTTACATTTTCCACAATAATTTGTCTGTAAACAAAAAAAAATGTTGATTTTACTGTATACCTTGCAGAAACCTCCTTTCATATGGTCCGGGTACACAGTTATCGTCCTTTGATTTTCGTTGTCCACAAATATAGTCCCTAGTGTGGACAGTGTGTTACTTGTCGATTTTTTTTATACCCCTTCCGAATTTATTTCTCCATGTTTTATGACTCAAATAGTAAGAAGGGGGGTGAAATGACACTGAAAAAAAATTTGGGTCATGAATTTTAAAGTAAAGTAGTGATTTGGTCCAGCTGAAAAATGTTAAAAATTAGCACTTCGGAGGCTGTCAAAAGATTTGAAGACCCCCTTAGCATGAAATTGTCCATATTTTGAGTTAGAGCCGATGAAGTTTTCTTTAATTTTGATAAAATTTGTCCCAAAAGTAGTACAACACACTGTAAAAATATTATTGAGAAAGCGCAGGTGGGATTTTTTTAATTTTCATTTATTGTCTAAAAGAAATGCACTACGAAATAACTGTGTACTCGGACCTAAGAGGTGAAATCTGGAAATATAGAATCTGTAATTTGGCAACTTCCCTGAATGATTTGATGGTGTCAATTTATCAAATAGCATAAAACTAAAGGATTTAAACTTTTATTTGATAGAATTTCTGCAAAAATGACCAATTTTGGCATTTTATGGTCAAAATAAGCATTTCATAGCTTTTTCAATTTTGATGCATAAGTGGCATTCTGACTTTCTATCTGACAGGTTTTTATGTGTCAATATTTGTGTTTCTATGCTTCAATCCAGTTGTATTACTCATTTGTGAACTCTGAATCTACAGAAAAGAAGATTATCTCAGACAATATGTGCAAAATGTGTTGTATATATGGTCCTCGTCTAACGCCCTGTTTGGATCAAGTTAAATGTGAGGAGCTTGGAACATAAAAGTTGAAGTCCATTATAAAGACCTCACTAAATTTGTATAAAAAGCACTTAACAATGTCTTTTGTGCCTGTTTTATGTCACATAATATCTTTCTTTTCTTCTGTAGGATAGCAAGTGGTTCAAATATAAGCCTGTTGAGACTAAAATTGCATGCATGTTTTTCACTAAAAAGTGAAAAATCTTTGTATCAGACCATACTGTCTGCAAAAAAAGTTGAATGCAAGAGTCTTTTTGTGCTCAGATTTATTGTATCATGTCACCTGAGTATAGAAATGATAGAAAAGACACAAAATTTTATTTCATATAGCTTCAATATGCATTTTTAAATGTAAATATGTGATACGGCCTAAATTGACCCTAAATTATTTTCAGTCTTACTTGGCCTAAGACCCTTTTAAACTAATGTGATATGTTATTTGTAAGTTTTCTTTCCATTTAAAGTACATTAAATACATATGTAAGGATTATTTATAACCAAAAAGCTTTACAAATTTAAAATTGCTGGAAAATATTACATCTTCATGTAAGGCCCCCCTTCATTGGAAAACCTCCATTTTTAGCCACAGGCTCATATAAATTTGACTTTTTAATAATTATAATAAGTCTGATAAATCAAATGAGTACTCTATTGCTTTTAATACATAATGTATTATATATTAAGGCATTTCAAAAGTATTTTTTTGCAATATTTTAATTTTTTAAGCCCCAAATGTTGATAGTTGAAAATTTTCAATTTTAACGTCTAAATTTAACACTCAAAGTTGAATATAAAATTAGTCATGTTGTCTATAATATATATTCTATTGCCATGAAACTTTGTAAGCAGTCTTATAATTTAATAAGCTTTGGTCATACCAAGTTTCATTAAGATTGGTCAACTTTTTCTACCCTATTAGGTCCGGGTACACAGTTATCGTCCTTTGATTTTCGTTGTCCACAAATATAGTCCCTAGTGTGGACAGTGTGTTACTTGTCGATTTTTTTTATACCCCTTCCGAATTTATTTCTCCATGTTTTATGACTCAAATAGTAAGAAGGGGGGTGAAATGACACTATAAAAAAATTTGGGTCATGAATTTTAAAGTAAAGTAGTGATTTGGTCCAGCTGAAAAATGTTAAAAATTAGCACTTCGGAGGCTGTCAAAAGATTTGAAGACCCCCTTAGCATGAAATTGTCCATATTTTGAGTTAGAGCCGATGAAGTTTTCTTTAATTTTGATAAAATTTGTCCCAAAAGTAGTACAACACACTGTAAAAATATTATTGAGAAAGCGCAGGTGGGATTTTTTTAATTTTCATTTATTGTCTAAAAGAAATGCACTACGAAATAACTGTGTACTCGGACCTAATATTGGAAGGTGAAAGGTGAGAAGTCCAGGTATTCCTTAATTCTATACACAAACTTTTCTGATATAGGAAAGCTTGGAAGTGTTTGAACACATACTTGCATGTTAATGATTACATTTTGGAAATCATACAGGGAAAATTTCATAGTTTTTGTCAACATTAAAAAACAGTGCATCCCATAAAATATATTTAGATTGATTTTTTTTTTTTTTTTCATTTCGAAGCAGTTGTCAATTATTTATTTTTATTTGTTTTACTTTGAACTTTACTAAGCTGAATTAATAGGGGGCATAGGAGTTGGCTATTTTTAAGACCCAGATCACCCATAAAATAAAAAAAAAATCATTTAATTTATAATTCTTACAAAACTTTTAAGGAAAATTCAACCACCTATATGTATTAAATGGTAGCAAAATAAAATATATTGGATTTGTTTTGTTAAGTTCCATCTTAAATTTATTTAGAGTTATCTCCCATTGACTTCAGAATTACTGAACTGACTATTAGACATTAGCTGTAGAAAAGATTTCCAGATCTGAAAATATTGACATAAATATTAATAAATTTATATATTATTGTAAAAGTAAGCGAAATTTTTAAATAACAACAAATAACTATGAATACAGATGAAGTTCAGTTTGATAATTGTCTATCATGAGAGAAAAAATATTTTATGGAAATTTCAGCTATGTAATGTATTTTTTGTAAGAATTTATAGTCTCATTTATCATGTTTATAAGTGTGGATTTTGATAATACATGTATTATATATGACTGTTTTTTTAAATAGGGCCTTGTGTAAAGAATGCAATAACAAGGAAAGGGCCAAAGGAATGGGAAAATATGTTTGTCACAAATGTCAGTAAGTATTGAAGTGATCATTTTAGCTCTCATTAAAGAACATATTTTGTCTTACAAAATAATACAGTGGAATTATTTATCAGGTCTACAGGATGATAAGGGTTCTATTGAAGCTTTGTAACCATTTGCATTTGTACCCATATCTCAGAAATAGTAAGCAGGGATGATGTTATGATCATGACCAAAATTAGGTCAAGATGACCTTTATTTAATGTTTGAGTTCATTAATTGTATTTAAAGTCAGTGATCTAGCAACATCAAAAACAATACATTAAAGGAAAATGTTGTTATATTTCTAAAACAGTGCAGTAATTATTATAGTCTCCACAAACATATATAAATGGTTTAATTATTGGATACAATGAATATTAATCACCTCTTGATTGATATTTTTGCTGTTTGAGTGTAAAGATATTTCATAATAACTTGTTCTCTTATGGATGTGGCCCGTTATATATTTCCTGTATGTTTATTCTATCACACTGAATTGAATGTATTATGAATAAGTGAAACAAAAACTGTTAATTGGTGGGCCTATTCTGCAATGCGTTGCAAAATTTGTGACATTTCCATTGGCTATTTGTTAGGTCAATGATGACTTTCAAAGGTCACAATGGACCCTGGGTAACAGGGATTTGTGATTTCTTCAATAATATACAAAACACTCATGTTTCACCTGAAAATATTCTTTTTGTCAAAGGATGAGGTCCGTAAACGGCTAATTTCGGCCCAAAATTCGAAGTACATCTGATGAAAGATTTTTGACATTTTTTAAACACTTAAGTGTCTACTTCAGTCGATTCAGTTAGTTTATGTTAAAGATTTGAACTGATTTGGTCATTAAAGACGCTCAAATTCAAGCTTAAATATGAAAAATCTATCAAATATGCCATAAAACGTCACTTTTCAGATGGCTTTTGTCTAAAAATGGATGTGGCCGCATTCGTGTTCAGTCTCAACATTTACATATGTTATGTATTATCATTAAATACAACATATATTTCAATATTTAGACTGAACACAAGTGTGGCCACTTCCATTTTAAACAAAAACCGTCTTAAAATTAGCATAAATGCTAAAATTGTGAAGATTTCAGTATTTTTGCATGAAATAATGATGCTAGTATCTGATGCATGTCCATTGTATTGTCTAAAACAGCCAATATTAATGTAACAAAAGTATTCTTCTTTCCAATAAATAACTAAAAGTTTACATTTTTAACAACTTTGTAAAATCGCTATATTTGGGGCCAAAAAGGGGTCTTACCGGGCCTCCTCCTTTGTTTCCATTTTGAAGCATACAAAAAGACATATGTTCTCAATACCATAAGCTTAAGAGCAGCTGTGAAATCGAAAATATGTATAAAAATTTTGTTCCTACCATATGAGAAATAAATTTAACAACTAGTGAGAATTGGCTTTTGCATGATATCAGCAGTCGTTATGTGAATTCAATAATAATAATAAATTATTATATTGAAATTAAATTAAATAACTTGAGGGATATCCAATTTTGGCTTGTTATGAAACCTTTAGATATATATGCCTATTATAGGGACTCTATAGATTTGCAAATTATGGTCCTGATTGGGCAAAATCAGAAATAAAAAAGAAGTAAATGTGTTTATTGTTATATCAACCAATTTGGTAAGCAGATGTAAAAGAATGTAGACTGAATGTTTGATGTGACTTTCTGGATGTCAAGCTTTAGAAACTTGGTAAAAGAATTAATCAGTCAACAACTTGTTATTTCACAAATTTACTGGCAATAATACATTACTTTGAATGATTTTAATTTATGGAATTATTAGATAAATTTTGTGTTAAAAAGAATACAGTTATTGTTCAGTGTTAATTACACATATCTTTCTCAAGAAGTGTTACAGTGTAAACTACCTACACATGCTAAAATATAAACTTCAGTGTGCCTTGTTATCCAATTTGAATATTAAATAAAATATGTCTTAACTCAATCATTGGCTGGATTATTGATTTAAATGAATGTATCCCTTGGAACATTATTTCAAGAGCAGTGTTGCAACAATTCAGATTGGTTGTCATTAAAGTTGCCAAACTAATGATACAGCTCAACCTTTGATACAATGGCTTCCGTTTTTATACGACCGCAAAAAAATTTTTGTGGTCGTATATTGGTATGACGTTGGCGTCGGCGTCGTCCGAAGACACATTGGTTTTCGCACTCTAACTTTAGTTTAAGTGAATGGATCTCTATGAAATTTTACCACAAGGTTCAATACCACAAAAGGAAGGTTGGGATTGATTTTGGGGGTTATGGTACCAACAGTAAAGGAATTAGGGGCCAAAAAGGGGCCAAAAATAAGCATTTTTGTAACTTCCAGATATAACTTGTGTGTTAGTGTATGGATCTCTCTGACATTGTACCACAAGGTTCCATATCACAAAAGGAATGCTGGGATTGATTTTGGGGGTAATTGCCTCAAAATTTTAGGAATTAGGGGCCAAAAAAGGGGCAATAAAGAAGCATTTTTTTAGTTTCATGACAATAACTTGTGTGTAAGTGTATGGATCTTTCTGAAATTGTACTACAAGGTTCCATATCACAAAGGGAAAACTGGAATTGAGTTTGGGGGTAATTGCTGAAACGTTTAGGAATTGGGGGCCAAAAAGGGGCCAAAAATAAGCATTTTTCTAGTTTCCAGACAATAACTTGTGTTCAAGTGTATGGATCTCTCTGAAATTGTACTGCAAGGTACCATACCACAAAGGGAAGGCTGGGATTGATGATGGGGGTAATTGCCTCAATATTTTAGGAATTAGGGGCCAAAAAGGGGCAAAAAACAAGCATTTTTCTAGTGTCAGGACAATAACTTGTGTGTACGTGTATGGATCTTTCTGAAATTGTACTACAAGGTTTCATATCACAAAGGGAAAGCTGGGTTTGAGTTTGGGGGTAATTGCCCTAAACGTTTAGGAATTTGGGACCAAAAAGGGGCCAAAAAACACATTTCTCTAGTTTCCAGACAATAACTTGTGTTCAAGTGTATGGATCTCTCTGAAATTGTACTGCAAGGTACCATACCACAAAGGGAAGGCTGGGATTGAGTTTAGGGGTGATGAATCATAAGGGGGTTCAAAAAATTTGGGGGGGGGGGGGGGTTTCCTTTTTTTTCTTTTTTTCCTTTTTTTTTTCTTTTAAAATTTTCCATTTTAAGTTGGTTATTTCTGATTTATATTTAAAAGCAAATAATAATGATATGGTAGGAGATACACACCAAACAGGATGTGTAAATTATTATATAATAAGTATTGTGCAATAGCAAGAAATTTTCAATTGCACAGTATTGCACAATAGCAAGAAATCTTCAATTGCACAGTATTGCGCAATAGCAAGAAATCTTCAATTGCACAGTATTGCGCAATAGCAAGAAATATCCAATAGCACAATATTGCGCAATAGCAAGAAATTGTCAATTGTACAGTATTGCGCAATAGCAAGAAATATTTAATTGCACAGTATTGTGCAAAAGAAGATACTTCGTATAAATTGCTTATTTCTTGACCAATTTCAATGGGGTTTTATTCTTGAATTCTTGGGGTTCTTTAATATGCTGAATCTAACCGTGTATTTAGTTTTTGGATTATGGGCCCCGTTTTTAAATTGGTCCACATTGAGGTCCAAAGGGTCCAAAATTAAACTTTGTTTGATTTCATCAAAAATTGAATTATTGGGGTTCTTTGATATGCCGAATCTAACCGTGTATTTAGATTCTTAATTTTTGGTTCCGCTTTCAAATTGGTCTACATTAAGGTCCAAAGGGTCCAAAATTAAACTTAGTTTGATTTTAACAAAAATTGAATTCTTAGGGTTCTTTGATATGCTGAATCTAAACATGTATTTAGATTTTTGATTATGGGCCCAGTTTTCAAGTTGGTCCAAATCGGGGTCCAAAATTAAACTTTGTTTGATTTCAACAAAAATTGAATATATGGGGTTCTTTGATATGCTGAATCTTACCATGTATTTATATTTTTGATTTTTGGGCCCCGTTATCAACTTTGTCCACATTGAGGTCAAAAGGGTCCAAAATTAAACTTTGTTTGATTTCATCAGAAATTGAATTCTTGGGGTTCTTTGATATGCTGAGTCTAACCATGTATTTAGATTTTGGATATTGGACCATAAAAGGTGAATGTCCAATTTAAAATTTTTAAGTTCTTAGACCACATTCATTCTGTGTCAGAAACCTATGCTGTGTCAAATATTTAATCACAATCCAAATGCAAAGCTGTATCAAGCTTGAATGTTGTGTCCCTACTTGCCCCAACTGTTCAGGGTTCGACCTCTGCGGTTGTATCAAGCTGCGCCCTGCGGAGCATTTTATTGTTTATTTCTTTTGATGCATTTTTGGTATATAAACTCAACATAATATGCCACTCAGCTTGTGAAGTGCAAATATTGTAATAACTAAACTGACCATGTGAAAGATGTATTTTAAGCACACAATTTGATTGATTGAGTGTCAGGAGTACATTAAATAGCCCTCAAAATTCAGATGGAAGTGAAAGTGAAATACAGGTTATATTAAATACCAAAAATCAAACAGAGAAAATATTTTGATAGATTAATACTTCAGGTAATTGATTCTCTCTCACAATTCAGCATTTCTTACTTCATTGTTATCTTAGATTAACATTTTTCAATAATAAAACTCTATCTTTGTAACAACATAGACGCAAATTTATGAAAAAAATAGATTGGTTTTAAGAATACTATAGCTTAAAAGTGATACAAACAGAGCTAATACTCAGATTATTGTTGGCAGACAATTTCTATTCATGTATTGTCAGCAAGAATGTGAAGGTTTAGTACAATGGTTGTTATCTAAGCTATTATACCAGAGAAAATAATGTTGTCTGTTCTTTGTTTTGGCTGTTTGATGATGTTCATTTATAACTGATAACAAACTTTTGTTAATTGTTGTGGAGGTGTACTGCATATTGGGCGTCTTTTAAGTGTGATATTTTATTTAGTTAATTATGACTACATACATCTCCTGGATATCGTCACTTTTTATCAGGGAAGCAACCTCATATAATGCATATGTCAATGTGGGATAATTGATAGTACTAAGGACAAGATATTAATATATACCGTGGGAGTTTGTTTTAGGGACATGGTCATAAGTTTTGTTGATATAGTGATAAGGTTTGATAAGCTTTGGACTGTCAACATTACTTTAATAGCTTTTAGATTGGGGGTCTGTAAAGTAAACTATTGCATTGAGTTGGGTATATATTTTGACCCTAGACTACATTTCTATCAACAATTACTAAGTTTATTTCTATGTAAAAGAAATCAGAAAGGGATCATGTTTTCAGATAACAATTTACCCATATTTTATTTGTTTTTTTTTTTTTTCAATTTTAACAATACATGTATAAGAATTACTACTGAAAATAGTGTTTTGGGTTTATCAGACAGATAACATGCATATAGAAATGCCTGACATAAAAAATGTAAGAAGGCCTAATAAACAAATTGTGGAACTTTTTTTATTTTTCCAATCAAGTCTCATTCCTGGGTCAATTTGAAAAGAACCATTTTTTTCACGTTATTGGTTCAGCCTTTAAGGGCTTAGATTTATGATTAACATTTTTCCTGCACTATATTACATTGCTTGTATGAAGCATAAGTTGTGAAAATTGTTAAATGACACAGAGCTTAAACAAATATACTAATAAAAATTTTTAGGGAGAAGTTTTGAGATGATCAAGAAAAAATTTACTGTTATGCAAAATTGCAATCATTCCATTTCTTACTCTCTCTGTTTCCTGCTTACATGTTTAGTTAACCGATAATCTTTTGTTTAGTAACATTTTTTTTTTCTTTTCAATATGACAATTATCAGAATATTGCTCAATGTTTGAATAATGATATGTTTGACATGTGTGAGCACCTATAGTATTTTTGTTTTGCCATTGTATTTTGAACAGGTCATTGTCATTTTAAAGTGTGAAACATGTGAAATGCAGCGTTGTATGTTACTTTATATGTATTTAAGATAGTTAAGAGTACAAAATACAATAAAAACAGTAGCCATATCTTATTTATTGTTTGATAAGGATAAATTTGTAGGTTAGAATTTGATCACACATAATGAACTGTTATTCATTGATATCAATGTCCAAAAAATATTGCACTTTTATCCTCCAAATTAATTTTTTTAAATCACAGAAATTGATCTGCTTGGAATTAAAGAAAACTGAAAAAATGGGATCAGCAATTGATTTGTCTTGGGAAAAGTCATTTTATATATAAACATCAAGAAAAGTTAGATAATTTGTTAATTACAAATTTACCTTGTATTTTTATTTGCAGTGCTATTATTGAGGATGGCCATATCAAGTTTAAAGGAGAAGCTTACCACCCTTATCATTTTAATTGTACCTCTTGTGGGTAAGTTGATGCAGGGAAAACCTTTTGTATTTTCATTTATTGCTTAAACATGTTAAATGCACAGCTATTAGGATTTTCTCAATGCTTTTTGGTGAAATACCTCCTTTCACTGCATTAATCATGTTAGTTAACAGAAGTACCATACTAATATGCTCTTCCTGAAAACCGCTTTAGAACTTGAAGTGTTTGTCATATACATAGCAACTCCTTTCATTCATTATGTTTTTAAACTTCTATTAAAGGAATACATGTACCTGCAAAACACACAAAATGATCAATCCATGAGTCAAAGTAAAAAAAAAATACAGTCTTCTAAATATCATTATATCATTATCCTCAGATTTAGATTCATTATTTCAATAGTTTATACAGGAAAAGACTTCAAATTTTAAATTGAATGAGTTGTTTTACTGACAGATCAGTCCTGATTTTATACTCATCAAACTGCCTTGTTGGTCTTATGGAAACATGCTGGCCTTAATGGCGAGGATGTTGTGGATTCAATCCCTATCTGGTCAAAGTGAAAAACTAAAAAAACTGAATTGGTATTTGCTGCATATAGCATTCAGGAGGAAAAGCAAGACTGGTAGGCTCAAGAGTCAAAATAGTGAGCCCTGTTTGACTGTTACCGTTGCACATTAAAAATCTGGCGTCTAATACAAAGCCAGGTTCATATTCATATCATATTGACATGTCCCTTATTTTTCGCTTGGAAAAAAAACCACAAAAACATTCATCTATCCATCCACTTATGATACCAAAAATGTGTTTTATAACCACTTGTGTAAATTTTAATTTGGAAACATTGGCAGCATGCTCTGACCACAATTTTCAGTTAGGTATTAAATGTATATCTCGATTCATTTTGTATGATAAATTTGTTTGGGTCAAGGAATGCAGCTAGTGTTATCTAAAGAAAAAGGATTTAAAAAAAAATAATATTCACTAAAAGGCTGTATAAGTTGTCTCTTATGGACCTTTTCCTGTGTATAATTATCTTTAGCAATAAATTCACATCATTTTAACGAAGGCCATTGCATGTCAAATTTCTAAATATTAGGACAGTTCAACCTAGAAATTACTGTTTTGAAAAAATAAATATGATTTACTTTATACTCATTGCAGAAATGAGTTGGATGCCAATGGTAGAGAAAAAGGTGGAGAGTTGTTTTGTTTGAGATGTCATGATAAGATGGGTATTCCTATCTGTGGTGCTTGTAGGTATGTATACTTTTATAGTGCTACATTGGACACATATCATATTAATTCAGACTTCCGAATAGACAATAAGTAAATAGTGTTCATCAGAAGTGGCTGCACTTTATATAATTGAAAAAATTGAATTTGTTGCATAAGCTCCATACCAGAAAAAAAAAAGGCAGGTTAAAAGAATTCACTTGATAGTGCTTTAAAAAAGTTCAAAATTACTTGCATGAGATATATTGATTTTTGTTTGTTTGCACTTTATCACAAAGTGCATATGAATTTAGTTCTTTTATTGTTCTGATAAACGAGAAACAACATATAAGTCCCATTTAGAAACATGAAAGGTCAATCATACTTTTCACATGTCCTTTTAGATATCTACTTGGCAAAGTACTTTATATAATGATTTTTCAAGATAAACATTTGATATATGTGTCAAATTACAAAATGTATCTGTAATCTAGATTTTATATGTGATAATAATTAACCCTGTTCACAATATTTGTCCAATATTTAGCTAGGTTTATATATGTTATATTTATCTACTTATATTTCCAGTGCAAAAAAGTTAAAAATTTAACACTTCTCTACACTGTATATCAAATAAAGTTATGGCCTATTATGAATTTTCAGACGTCCAATAGAAGAAAGAGTTGTTCATGCTTTGGGAAAAGCTTGGCATGTTGAGGTAAATATGTCGTGAGATGTTATTCTCTATTTAGTGTTTGCCTATACCCTTATCTTGCTATAGGAAGGAAAACTACATGAACACTTACTGTTTTAGAGTTATGCCATATCATAAAACTTATTACATAAGAAATAGAAACAAAACCGTGAAAATATGAAAATAACACGCAGCACAAAAATATCTTAAGACTAGAACAATAGAACTCTTTAATAACTAGCAGTGGCATCAAATGCTCTCAGAAGTGTTTTCCCCGCATTATAAGCAAGCTTGATTTGGGGGGGGGGGGGGGGATTCTTGTCAGACATTCTTTTATTTTTTTATTTTTAAATTTTTAATTTTTTTAATATAAAAAAAATAAATATGTTAGAGCTTGTCCATATAAATGTAGATTCTACCACTGCATGGAATTTGATACGATATTTCTCCACTCTAAACAGTAAAGTTTTCAAATTTAAAACTTGAGGCTCACAAAGCATTTTAAATATTTAAAATTTAACTATCGAGAGGAGAAATATCATATTACACAAGATTTGATTGTAGAATCTGTTTCTCTTATGATTTTTAGACAATATGCAGACAAACCTCATCAGGCATGGTTGTCTCTTTTCATGACGTCACAATAGGAAAATTCGGAGAAAAGCAAAAAAATTTGATGGCACTATTCAATTTTGACCAATGAAGAACTTAGATCAAACGAACCACACGTTCTATAAATAAAAATAATCAATAGGTCAGGAAAAGGATAAATTGGCTAAGAATTAGAGAAACAGATTATGTAGTGCATTGAAATAATAAGATTATGTTTTGACTACTTTAACCTTTTCCTTATGAATAGTTTTTGTCGAGCCTGCGACTTTTGTCGCAGAAAGCTCGACATAGGGATAGTGATCCGGCGGCGGCTACGCGGCGGCGTTAGCTAACTTCTTAAAAGCTTAATATTTTAGAAGGTGGAAGACCTGGATGCTTTTAACTTTGTATATGGATGCCTCATGTTACGAAGTTTCCGTCAGTCACATGTCCAATGTCCTTGACCTCATTTTCATGGTTCAGTGACTACTTGAAAAAAAAGTTAAGATTTTTTGTAATGTTAAATTCTCTCTTATTATAAGTAATAGGATAACTATATTTGGTATGTGCGTACCTTGCAAGGTCCTCATGCCTGTCAGACAGTTTTCACTTGACCTCGACCTCATTTCATGGATCAGTGAACAAGGTTAAGTTTTGGTGGTCAAGTCCATATCTCAGATACTATAAGCAATAGGTCTAGTATATTCGGTGTATGGAAGGACTGTAAGGTGTACATGTCCAACTGGCAGGTGTCATCTGACCTTGACCTCATTTTCATGGTTCAGTAGCAATAGATAAGTTTTTGTGATTTGGTCTGTTTTTCTTATACTGTATGCAATAGGTCTACTATATTTGGTGTATGGAATGATTGTAAGGTGTACATGTCTAGCTGGCAGGTGTCATCTGACCTTGACCTCATTTTCATGGTTCAGTGGTTATAGTTTAGTTTTTGTTGAGCCTGCGACTTTTGTCGCAGAAAGCTCGACATAGGGATAGTGATCCGGCGGCGGCGGCGTTAGCTAACTTCTTAAAAGCTTTATATTTTAGAAGGTGGACGACCTGGATGCTTCATACTTTGTATATGGATGCCTCATGTTACGAAGTTTCCGTCAGTCACATGTCCAATTTCCTTGACCTCATTTTCATGGTTCAGTGACTACTTGAAAAAAAAGTTCAGATTTTTTGTAATGTTAAATTCTCTCTTATTATAAGTAATAGGATAACTATATTTAGTATGTGCGTACCTTGCAAGGTCCTCATGCCTGTCAGACAGTTTTCCCTTGACCTCGACCTCATTTCATGGATCAGTGAACAAGGTTAAGTTTTGGTGGTCAAGTCCATATCTCAGATACTATAAGCAATAGGTCTAGTATATTCGGTGTATGGAAGGACTGTAAGGTGTACATGTCCAACTGGCAGGTGTCATCTGACCTTGACCTCATTTTCATGGTTCAGTAGCAATAGATAAGTTTTTGTGATTTGGTCTGTTTTTCTTATACTGTATGCAATAGGTCTACTATATTTGGTGTATGGAATGATTGTAAGGTGTACATGTCTAGCTGGCAGGTGTCATCTGACCTTGACCTCATTTTCATGGTTCAGTGGTTATAGTTTAGTTTTTGTTGAGCCTGCGACTTTTGTCGCAGAAAGCTCGACATAGGGATAGTGATCCGGCGGCGGCGGCGTTAGCTAACTTCTTAAAAGCTTTATATTTTAGAAGGTGGACGACCTGGATGCTTCATACTTTGTATATGGATGCCTCATGTTACGAAGTTTCCGTCAGTCACATGTCCAATTTCCTTGACCTCATTTTCATGGTTCAGTGACTACTTGAAAAAAAAGTTCAGATTTTTTGTAATGTTAAATTCTCTCTTATTATAAGTAATAGGATAACTATATTTAGTATGTGCGTACCTTGCAAGGTCCTCATGCCTGTCAGACAGTTTTCCCTTGACCTCGACCTCATTTCATGGATCAGTGAACAAGGTTAAGTTTTGGTGGTCAAGTCCATATCTCAGATACTATAAGCAATAGGTCTAGTATATTTGGTGTATGGAAGGACTGTAAGGTGTACATGTCCAACTGGCAGGTGTCATCTGACCTTGACCTCATTTTCATGGTTCAGTGGTTATAGTTAAGTTTTTGTGTTTTGGTCTGTTTTTCTTATACTGTATGCAATAGGTCTATTATATTTGGTGTATGGAATGATTGTAAGGTGTACATGTCCAACTGGCAGGTGTCATCTGACCTTGACCTCATTTTCATGGTTCAGTGGTTATAGTTAAGTTTTTGTGTTTTGGTCTGTTTTTCTTATACTGTATGCAATAGGTCTATTATATTTGGTGTATGGAATGATTGTAAGGTGTACATGTCCAACTGGCAGGTGTCATCTGACCTTGACCTCATTTTCATGGTTCAGTGGTTATAGTTAAGTTTTTGTGTTTTGGTCCGTTTTTCTTATACTTTATCCAATAGGTCTACTATATTTGGTGTATGGAATGATTGTAAGGTGTACATGTCCAACTGGCAGGTGTCATCTGACCTTGACCTCATTTTCATGGTTCAGTGGTTATAGTTAAGTTTTTGTGTTTTGGTCCGTTTTTCTTATACTTTATCCAATAGGTCTACTATATTTGGTGTATGGAATGATTGTAAGGTGTACATGTCCAACTGGCAGGTGTCATCTGACTTTGACCTCATTTTCATGGTTCAGTGGTCAAAGTTAAGTTTTTGAGTTTTGGTCTTTTTTCTTATACTATTATGCAATAAGTCAACTATACAGTCTCGCAGGTTTTATTTGACCTTGACCTCATTTTCACAGTTCATTGCTCAGTGTTAAGTTTATGTGTTTCAGTCTGTTTTTCTTAAACTATAAGCAATAGGTCAGCTATATTTGTTGTATGGAAGGATTGTAAGCTGTTCATGTCTGCCTGGCATGGTTCATCTGACTTTGACCTCATTTTCACGATTCATTGGTCAATGTTTAGTTTTCTTGGTTAAGTCTGTTTCTTAGAAACTATAAGCAATAGGTCAACTATATTTAGTGTATTGAATGATTGTAAGGTGTACATGTATTTCTTGTTTGGTTTATATGACCTTGACTTCATTTTCTTGAATCATGTTAAGTTTATGTAATAGTTGTAGTAAAGCTTTCATTTAGGACTATCAACATAATATCAATGGTTAGTAAAGAAGGCGAGACATTTCAGCCTGTCCACTCTTGTTGTGTTTTGGTCCGTTTTTCTTATACTTTATGCAATAGGTCTTCTATATTTGGTGTATGGAATGATTGTAAGGTGTACATGTCCAACTGGCAGGTGTCATCTGACTTTGACCTCATTTTCATGGTTCAGTGGTCAAAGTTAAGTTTTTGAGTTTTGGTCTTTTTTCTTATACTATATGCAATAAGTCAACTATATTTGGTGTATGGAAATATTCTATGATGTACATGTCAGTCTCGCAGGTTTTATTTGACCTTGACCTCATTTTCACGGTTCATTGCTCAATGTTAAGTTTATGTGTTTCAGTCTGTTTTTCTTAAACTATAAGCAATAGGTCAACTATATTTGTTGTATGGAAGGATTGTAAGCTGTTCATGTCTGCCTGGCATGGTTCATCTGACCTTGACCTCTTTTTCACGATTCATTGGTCAATGTTTAGTTTTCTAGGTTAAGTCTGTTTCTTAGAAACTATAAGCAATAGGTCAACTATATTTAGTGTATTGAATGATTTTAAGGTGTACATGTATTTCTCGTTTGGTTTATATGACCTTGACTTCATTTTCTTGGATCATGTTAAGTTTATGTAATAGTTGTAGTAAAGCTTTCATTTAGGACTATCAACATAATATCAATGGTTAGTAAAGAAGGTGAGACATTTCAGCGTGTGCACTCTTGTTGCAATACATGTATTGTATGAAGTACCTAAACAGCCACTTAGCATTAATTATAAATAAATAGAACACATCATTTTCCATAATAAACATATGATAGAATTTTTAGTATGTACAAGTCTGCAGTTCTGTAAATTCAGAAATTATTGTGAGGTTTTTACCAATGCAAATAATTTGACCGAGTAAGTATAGCAATTATAAGAACTCGTATTCTGATAGCTGATACATATATTTTGAAACATTTGATCTCTTGTAGCATTTTGTGTGTGCCAAGTGTGAACGACCATTCTTTGGGACTAGGCATTATGAGAAGAAAGGTTTAGCTTATTGTGAAACTCATTATCATCAGGTAAGATGTTTTGTATTATATATTATTAGGAGGCTCTTAAGGGGAGTCAAAAATTTCTTATTTTAATGTCATTTTTGTGATTTTCAGAGATGTGATAGATTCAAATAAGTTGTTTTAAGTGCCAGTCTTTGTTAAAGAATCAGGCAATTTAGAAGAATTTCAAAACATGACCGAAAAAAACCCACCTACCTAACCATCCTATTTTGAAGTTAATCTCATCCTGAGTAAGAAATAGAAGGTCTTTTGATTGTACGTGTCTGGTAATTCGAGAAATATCTAGATAACTTTTTGGTTAGGATGATAGCAAATTACGGAGTTAGCTCCCCTTAATTGTTAACTTCTAGTGCATTTCAACCAAACTATATCTTGAGTTACCAGAACAGGAAAAGGAAACGAATGTTATATTCATGCACCATTATACAATTTGAACATAATATAATGTCAACTTGGGTGGGGTTTTGTTTGTCATGTTTTCACCACTGCCTGATTCTTAGGCAGATTGGTACTTAAACATCTTTAAATAAAATATATGTCACTTTTCTTTGTTTTTTGGGGGAAATATGAGGTTCAAAATCTTGACTTTTTTGTTGTTTTCTTTCACATTTGGAATTTTCTTAAACTCATATTTTAAAAAGATAGTAGCCAAATTGGTTTTATTCATTTGTGAATTAGCGAAAAATTAAATTACCAGCAGTATAGTTTCATTTTAAAAAATTTGTATTACATACGAAAATAAGTTAAATTTGCTAACCTTTTTTGAGAAATTTTACAAGTTTTTTGTATTGTCATTTTTCTAATACTTTTATTTGAGTTGGTTTACATCGTGAATTTTGTAATAAATACATCAAAAGTATGTGTTGCAGTGCTTTCTGTAGAGAAAATTAAAAAAATTGTTATATGAAATAACTAGAAAATGAAAGAAACTTATTTATTTAAGAGAAAGATGTTTCAATTTGAATTTTTAAGATCACCCTTCTGTTTAATGTTGTTGAGAAATTGAAAAAAATATCATTAATTGCAAACTCTTTGTATTTGATTTTTTCAGTTGTTTGGTAACATCTGTTTTGTTTGTAACAATGTAGTGCAAGGAGATGGTAAGTATTTTATATATATAAAAACAACCTAGGAGCCATCTGTATTTGTATTTACACATAACTAAATGTCCCTATTGTTACAACTAAATCAAAAACAGTAACTGGAACATATTTTTGTTCACATGTTTATCTATTTAATCAGTTTATTTAGATAACTGTACTTTTATGTGAGCTAATTCTCTGTTCTGTTTTGCTCATAAACAGCTTGATTTTGGCATCTTGTGAATGTTCCTTTCGCCAACTGGTAAGCTTTCTTGTTTGTGATATGAATATTTCAGAGATTTTATAAAGCAGTTATTCCCCTTGGAAATACAAATATATATGGGAAATAACATTTTAAGTGACCTTATGCCTACATTTCTTGTAAGTTCCTTTTTAGTTATTGCCCATTGGACAGATAAAATGTGTGCAATGCTGGGGACATTGAAACAATTTTTATTTATAAATATTTTTCTTATTTTTTAGTGTTTAGTGCCTTTAATAAAGCCTGGTGTGTCTCCCACTTCTGTTGCTCTATTTGTGACAGAAAAATGAGTCAAAAGTAAGTATTTACCTATTCAAAGATGGCATAATTGACATAGTTTGTCTCATGTCAAGCATACATTTATAGATGTTCAATGAAGAAAGTAAAATTTATATTGATAAAACAGTTTGTATACTTTGGATCACTAAAATCCTGATGGTTTTTTAATGCAATCTAAAAATTGTTAAGTTGCTGCAAGTAAATCACCTGTTTCAAAAATGAAAACTAAGTTATTCAGACCATTATTAAATGTGATTATTTAAAATGAATTGATGTTCTATATCAATCTATTTTTTTATATATATATAAATATTTGACAACCATTTTGCTTATGGTCTGGAAATTTAAAAGGAAAATATATAGAGCGATAAGTTAAATGACAAAATTGATCTGATAAGTAAGTTATTAAATTATAGGTATACTAAAAGTGACAGAATTGGTCAAATAAGAAGCTGGTTTCTGGATCTGTATTTCTTTACTTTGACAACAATAAACTTAAACAGAACAAATTTAACAAATGAGTAATAAGTATAAAGTTTTGATTGGCAATGCATATGACTATAATAGGGGCTTTGTAGTTCTTTTAATTTTTAGTTTACTAAAAAATTGCAATTAAAGGTAATAAAAACATATTTTCCTTTTTTTTTTTCAGAACCAAATTCTTTGAATTTGACTTGAAGCCTGTATGTAGAGTTTGTCATGAGAAGTTTCCTGGAGAACTCAAGAAAAGACTAAAGAAATACCATGATGACTTAGCTAAGAAAGGACAATCATAATAATACAAATATTTTATCTAGAGCTTTAAGAAATGTTTTGTCATAAATTGTATGAATTATCACCCCTTAGATTGATATACATAGGTTAAGTCTTGCATGCAGTTAACCTCTTGCCTAAACTAAGTTCCACTTAAATGTATTGTTGCATACAATGTATTCACATATTGTTTATATTGTTGGTGACTTCAAGTCAAGTTGCTTCAAGCAAGTTCTGATAAAAAGGCTTCGCAGGTTTCCCGCCCAAAAAAAGAATACAGTTAGGAGACATAAATATTGCTGTATGTTCTAAAGTTGTGTTACCAATACACATTTTTTATTGACATTTGAAAGTTTGCATGTTATCCATGGTTAAGAAATCCTTGCTGGATTGCTGGCTAAAATTTGTTTTCGATGCTTAGCTTGCCTGAATAATATTCTTGTCATTCTAACTTGATTGTAAATACTGATTAATTGATCAAGATATCAAGGTACTCATTCAGAACAATTGGTTTAATACTATATTGCATCTCGGCTCAGAAATTTTGTATGGTGAATCTTTTCATGTACTTTCTTTTTTGCTAGTTGTGTGTTTTTTTCATTATTAATAAAAGATGTCTGGCAAAAAGTCAGTTTGAACCCTGGAGACCAGAATAAACTTCACTGGAAATGAAATAATGATAGATTGTGAATGCATTGATGAATGTAACAGCTAGACAATATATTCAAACAGAAAATCTTCAACCTAGAAACAAGTTTTGGAATTAACCAATAATCAAATGTTTTGTTTTAAGACACGATGGTTCCCATGCAATAACATTTTTGTTCTAGTCAATCTGTCATTTTGAAATTATTAGACATATATTCTTGCTTCTAGAGAAAGATTGCAATTACATAGGCGTTGATGCCTTTACATGTTTCAAAACATTAGGCCCAATAGGAGCCAAATACATGTTATTACTTATTTTGATATGGAATTTATTTTTCATCCATTTTTTGTATGATTTCTTTCACAAAGTGTATCACTTGATATGAAATTACTCTTCATTTCTAAGACCTAAAAACAATATTTTAAAATCGATTTTTTTTTTACCACTTTTAAATAAGGTAACACTGATAGCTTTACAGTAAAACTTTGGTTTGAAGATTCTAACAAAAAGGCCATAATAAAAAAAACTCAGGTTCAAATATTCATTATAATGAAAATTTTTATCCTGAAAATCATACATTTTCATTCAAATCGTTTAAATGATATTGAAAACATATATTAATTTATTTACAGGCAAGGGAAATATTATTGTCCAGAAATTTTAGAAAATATTGAGCACCAGCATAAGATATTCTAGTCCTCAATCTTAGAAAATTGTATGTCTTCCAGAACCGAAAAATTTGGATTTTCTTATTGCCTTATTTTTTTTATTAGACCATTTTCTCTGCATCATTTTCTAAACAATTTATGTTTTTAAATTTGAGAATTATCCGTATTGCATTCACTGTTGTAATCATACAGGAAGAATAGGAACACATTTGTTGAGGGGTATTTCTAATCTCCCTTTATATAGACTTCATAAAGTAAATGGAATAGATAAGATGGTATTAAAATGTTTTAAATACAAATAATCTTTGAAGACTATTTTGCACTAAATAATACTGCATTGTACTTTTCAGATTACATGATTTATATATTTATTTTGCTTTAGAGATTAAATATTCAAGTACTTTAATAAGTACAAGATATAGTATTTTCTTTAAAGTAGTATTTGAAATTTCTTGGAAGTCTTGAGATTGTTGCATTTGTTTTACAAAGTGTATATAAACTTTTGAATAATACACACCAGTTAAAGCTTTTGATGGTTACCAGTAACTATTAAATAGTATGCAAAGATTGAACTTGTTTGAGTGTTTCCTCCTTGTAATATACAACTTCCTGATGTAATACTGAATACTATGGATACACACAATGGCTTGACTATTTGCCAAGTTTTTTGAGAGAGGATTTTTTTTATCAGTATAAACGAATGGTGATATTATAAAATGATACAGTGTTTGTTACATGGAAAATTTTTGACATTTTATATTTGTTAGCCTTGTCAGTTCTAAATGCTGTGGATTTGATATGTTATGAATAGAGTATATAATTAGGATGATATTTATTGATGTTATAGAATTTTGTAATTTATATAACAATGTAAATAAAAGTGGCATGCTTAATTTGCTTTATTTATTTTGTCCTACAGACATGCCCAAGAATTGGACTTCCCTTTTAGAATGAGAGTTTGGTTTGTATGGAAGACTTTCCAACAGAATGGAAAAAGAAATGAGTGTTGGCACACACAAAAAATGATTAGAAAAAAATATGTCATTGGTCAAAAGATTTTTCAATGTGCATTAAAGTGCAACAATCTTTAGATTATAGTGTTATTAGACACTTTTATCATATGATTCTTAAATCTTCAAGTTATCAAGATCTATGACTGACTTTTTTGTTGATGAATACTGTTCCAGTTGATGAGATCTGATTTTCCTTCCAAGTACTTAATCTGTATATCGACAGGATTGAAAGGGTAATGTTAAAGGGAAAGACTCTTAAATTTTTTCCGTTTAAAATTGTAACTGAACATGGAAAACTTAATTTAGTTTTTTCTTGACACTTTTAAAATATATGATTTTGAGAAACGTATCATATTAAAAAAAATGTCTGAAGTTGTTGAGGCATAAAACATGCAAACAGAACAGACGTATCCTGTACTGGACTAGACTCATGACATGTTGTCAGAAGGGCAAGTACTAGAAAACATCAATTGTGTGGTTTGGTGAAAAAAAAGTGTCAGTACCCAAGCTTGTATCTGGTATTCAAGTTTTTAACCACTTTCAGTAAGCAAAGTATGTTGTATGACTGTTCATAGAAAGCAGAATGTCAAAATAAGGTTAGAATCTGCATCCAAGTCAAGCTTATAAACTAGGGTTACTGTTACAAACGCAAGGCCAAAAAACATAACTGTTTCCAGTATGTTCACCTTTTACCCCCTAATGTTTTTATACGACCGCAAAAATTAAAAATTTTTTGGTCGTATATTGGTATCACGTCAGCGTCGTCCGAAGACATGGTTTTTCGGATAATAACTTTAGTATAAGTAAATAGAAATCAATAAAATTTTAACACAAGGTTTATAACCACTAAAGGAAGGTTGGGATTGATTTTGGGGGTTATGGTCATAACTGTTTAGGAATTAGGGGCCAAAAAAGGGGCCCAAATAAGCATTTTTGTAGTTTCCAGACAATAACTTGTGTTAAAGTGTATGAATCTCTGAAATTATACCACAAGTTTCCATACTACAAAGGGATGGTTAGGATTGACTTTGGGGGGTTATGGCTCAAACCATTTAGGAATTGGGGGGAAAAACAAGGGTTTTTCTGGTTAAAAGTACAATTGAGATAATTTAAAGGAGTGTAAGGGAGGTAATCCAAATCAAAATCCAAATCAATTTAAATAACAATGTTTGATTACCTCCCTTACACTGCTTGTAAATTATGTATTAAGAAATGATGATTGTCTGAGATACTGACCATAACTTGAGGGAAAGAATTATTTTTTGGAATAAGGGAAAAGGGGGAGGTGAAAAAAATTGGAGGGGGACAATTTTTCTCATTTCAGATTTCAGAAATAAAAAGAAAATTTCTTCAAATATTTTTTTTTTTTTTTGGGGGGGGGGGGGGGGTTAATATTCAACAGCATAGTGTATTGCACAAACGCCAAAAAACGGGGTAAAATTTTTTTTGGGGGGGTAGGGGGGTCAAGTCGCATAGTGTATTGCTCAAAAGCAAAAAATTGAATATAAATTCAAATCATATAACCAATTTGAAGTTCTTTGAATACAGTTATTCTGTGTCAGAAACCTATTATGTGTCAAAAATTTAATTACAATCCAAATTCAGACCTGTATCAAGAGTGAATATTGTGTCCATTATGGCCCCAACTTTTCATGGTTGGACATCTGCGGTCGTATCCAGCTGTGCTCCGCGAAGCAATTTATTCACTGTTACTTTGATAGCTTAACATCATCATATTGTATCAAATGAAACTTTGATAGCTTAACATCATCATATTGTATCAAATGAAGTTCTAAGGCCAAAGTCACAAACGAAGCTCACTTATAGTAGTAATGGGTCCTAATGCATAAGCTGTTATCACTATGGCTAGCTTATTTTATTTGGTAAGAATGTGTATGGACAGTGTTGTTTGAATGTTCAGGTTACTAAGTATGTAAGTATGCTAACCCATGATGAAGATAAAACAATATTCTCATCCCATTTCATCAAGATATTTTCAACCATTCCTAAATATGTAAGATCAGTTTCAAATTTGCACTATTTTGGGCTGTGTTGCACAAAGTCCAAAGCTGGCTTGTAGAATTGTGACCAACTTCTACAGTTTTTATACGACCACAAAAAAAATTTTGCGTCGTATTATTCTATAATGTCATAGTCTTCGTCGGCGTTGGCGTCGTCCAAAGACACATTTGGTTTCCGGACAATAACTTTTAGTTAAAGTGAATGGATCTCTAAGAAATTTTACCAGAAGGTCCAATACCACAAAAAGAAGGTTGGGATTGATTTTGGGGGTTATGGTACCAACAGTTTAGGAATTAGGGGCCAAAAACAAGCATTTTTGTATGTAAGTGTATGTATCTCTCTGAAATTGTACCACAAGGTTCCATATCACAAAGGGAAGGCTGGGATTGAGTTTAGGGGTAATTTCCCCAAACATTCAGGAATTAGGGCCAAAAAAGGGGCCAAAAACAAGCATTTTTCTAGTTTCCAGACAATAACTTGTGTTTAAGTGTATGGATCTCTCTAAAATTGTACTACAAGATTCCATACAACAAACGGAAGGCCCGGATTGAGTTTGGGGGTAATAACTCCAAGGGGGGGTCAAAAAGTTTGGGGGGATTTTTTTTCTTCAATCTTCAATTGCACAGTATTGCACAATAGCACAGTATTGCGTAATAGCAAGAAATCTTCAATTGCACAGTATTTGTGCAATATCACAGTATTGTGCAAAAGCAGGAAATCTTCAATTGCACAGTATTGCACAACAGCACATTATTGCGCAATAGTAAAAAATCTTCAATTGCACAGTATTGCACAATAGCACATTATTGCGCAATAGTAAAAAATCATCAATTGCACAATAGCAAGAAATCTTCAATTGCACAGTATTGCATAATAGCAAGAAATCTTCAATTGAAAATAAATACAAATTTTTTAACCAATTTCAATGGGATTAATTTAAAGTCTTTAATTTTTGGGGGTTCTTACCTTGTATTACTTTTTATACGCCCGTTTGCGGGACGTATTATGGTATAAACCGTTGACCGTCCGTCCGTCTGTCCGTCAGTCCGTCGTCAACATGTCGGACATTAAGTCAAAAAAGCTTTAACCAATATGCATGAAACTTTGGTGAATTGTTTATATCTATTGACGTGAGCTCCCTTTTGTTTTTTATAGGTTTCAGATTTACCGTTTCCGAGTTTTAGGGTTTTATTCATTAAAAAAGGGGGCAATTTTCCAGTTTTCCGACAATAACTCAAGAATTCTTTCACCAACTTGCAAGAAATTTTGGTGAATTGTTTATATCTATTGACATGCGCTTCCTTTTGGATTTTTATAAATTTTAGATTTAACGTTTCCGAGTTACAGGGTTTTACTCAAAAATGCTTTCAGCAGTTCTCATGAAACTTTGGTGAATTATTTATAGCTATTGATGTAATCTCCCTATTGATTTTCATAAATTTCAAATATGACATTGAGAAGAAATTGAACTTTATTTGGATATTGGGCCCCATTTTTAAATTGGTCTACATTGAGGTCAAAAGGGTCCAAAATTAAACTTTGTTTGATTTCATCAAAAACTGAATTATTGTGGCTGTATGATATGCTGAATCTTATTGTGCATTTAGATTTTTAAAGGCAGTGCTTTAATGCCTTTCTGGTTGCCGTGTTAATCTTTCCTTCCGCGATATCAGACATATCTACGTGGGACTACAAGTAGATCCGGAAATATTGAATTCTCTCCTCTTTTTTTTTGTGATATAAAAAGTTTTTTGTTTCATTTCATTTACATTGGGAAATAAAGAAACGATCATTGTGTTTTGTTAATTTTAAAAACTTTTGATATAATTGTATTTTGCATTATTAGCAGTCAACCGATTGACAAACTAGAATTATTTGAATTCCGTGTGGAAAGAGGTCGGGTCAATTTCGAGTGTTATCTGCAATCAAGATGTTTTTAAATCATTTCAGTCGTTGATATAACGATTAAAGGTCGACTGAACGTGAATTATATTTCATATTATAAAATTTAAAGCGCATTTCTGTTTATGCACGTGAAGCCGTATGACGTTATCGTTATATAAAAAGTAGCAAATTATCGTTCCTGAGTAGGTGGCGCCGTGGTAGCCGATCCTGTTTCCTAACTTCCGGTTTCTGCACTGTGCAAATTTTTAATTAACGATGCCTAGTACTTGTTATTGTGTACCTGGATGTCATTTAAGAGGAGGACATGCATTTCCAAATGATTTAAAAAGAAGGAAAAGTTTGATCAACGCCATGGTCCATACGCAGATTGGACGAGAACACGAATCTCAATCAGCTGTTCAGCCTGTTGTTTACAAGGCACATAATACCGAAAACGACGGGAAGGTGTAAAAGACAATACAGAGATACGAGATACAGAAATACAAGATACGAGATACAAGATACGAGATACATGAAATAAAATACCTGTGAAATATACTAAAATTTATATCATAATTCAAACTTATTAAAATATAGATCTCGGATTTCGTTATACTACGTTATACTACATACGTATGTAGTATAACGTAGTATAACGAAATCCGAGATCTATATTTTAATTAGATTGATCATAATTAATTAAATCGAAGTCTCAATTAAGCATGGCAGCAAACGTCAATTAAAATAGTCATGTACTGAAGGCTTGAGTGTAGTGGAGTTGTGGGTTTACATTTTATAATTTAATAGGTAAACCAATTTTCAATGTACAATTTTTATACAGCCTAAAAACATGGAATCACCTTATATACATGTATGTCTAGTACAACTTCTTACTTCATTCTTTGATTATGGTATGATTTTGATAATACATGTACATGTACTTTGTACCAATATTATAACTAACTTAATGTGAT